TGGGGTTCCTCACTGTATAAAGCTCCATCATGGACGTTTCTGCTGGCTCTTTTGGTTTTGCTTTTCCCCTCCATCATCTTTGATCATCTCAATGGCAGACTGGAACTATGTGTTTCAGGGATCCAGTTGTCTCCCGTTTGCCACCCAGCTCAGGGATGGAACAAGTGAGACAGGTTTGAGGGAAGTGGGGTCTGGTAAAGTTTACCAAAAACTCACCAAAGTTAAAGTACTTCGGTGTCCTTGGGAATGGTGTGAATGATGAAGTGGTTTTCTAACAGCCTCCTTGTGTTTCTCATTCCTCCTCTCTGGAGTTTGGGGAAGGAAGCTGACAAATTGAAAGTCTATTCTAGCCATATACATAGAAAACACAACATCAGCACATAACCTTGTCCACACTGGGTCAGACCAATGGTGCTTCTAGTGTGGAATCCTTCTTCAGCAGTCAATAAAATTAACATGAATATATGGGGCAAAATCCTTTCCTTCCTTTGCCTCTGTGGAGGTGCAGAGACACTGAGTGCATGCCCAGAACAGAGCCCCAAGGCCTGTTCTAAGCAGAGCCAGAATCAAACCCTGTAAAGTCCCCGTGTCTTTTCCTAAGTCCAGCAGACAGACCTTCATCTGTGCTGTTTCATCCATTGCTGTCAGGAATTATTTATTCAGAATGTTTACTGGAGAAAAAATGAGGCTAAATATTATATATATATATATATACACATATTATACATACCTCTATGTATTTGCAATTGATAGTAGTTTTCCACCTTCATTTAACTTTTGCTGCCAATAACACTCCTTAAGTGAGTGCTGCCTTTCTCCTTGGCTAGTTAGAGCAAATTAGTTTCCCTTTCATTTTCAAATTGGCAAGTACCAGCTTAAGATAGATGCTTCCAGCTCTTCCGTATTTCCTTTGGGAACAAGTACAGCACAAAGCCTGCCTGAGACTTTCCATGTTCTGCACAACCCTAGCTGAGGAGCGCAGGGGTTATTCACAGCCACCTCTTCCATCTGCTTTTCATTGTACAGCTCTCAAAAGCAGGCTCTGGAAAACTGGGAAAATTCACATGCTATGCCTGAAGAGAGCGGGGAAAATAATCCCTTCTTTTGCATCAGTGCACACAACACCTGTGTGCTCCCCGTTCCAAATCCTGTGCCTGATACCGCTGTGCTGGCTTTGTCTGCAGCGCTGCCCCCATTCAGAATGATTGCAGCCTCCACTTACCATGCACAGCACATACATCCCTAGGAGGGCGCAGCTCTGGTGTCTCAGTCAGGAGCACTGATGTGCCAGGAACTCAGGCAGGCTGCAGAAGGAAGGCATCTCTTTTCTGCTCCACACTTGCTCCCCTTTTCCCACTCACTGAGTCCTGGCCAGGGAAGGACTAAGCAGATCATCGGTTTAGGCAAGGGAGGCTTTTCCCTGTGTGCCAAGAGAGGCAAAGGCAAAGGCTGAGATCTGTCTTCTGGTAGTAAACAAATGGCCAGCATCAGCCCCTTCCACAAGTCCCACTGCTACGGGAGGAGGTCTTGTGTCTGGGTACCAGCCTGGGGCAGGTGAAAGATGGGGCACACAAACCACATGACTACTCTTAAGGGAGCTACCTACACACTTTATTGCTTAGAAAATACTGGGCTGGAAAAACTTGGATCACCCCAGAGTTACCTACAGGCTAGTTCTGGGTACAAAGAAATAACTGATTTCTAATATGAGTTATCCATCCGGAGAGGGCATTCCTTGGGGCTTTCACAGTGTTCCACACAAAAATATGGGCAAAGAACACCAGCCCATACCCTAGCCAGATTCAGCTAGTGATAACACTACTTAGCTTTGACATTGCCTAGCAGGAATCTTCATTACAAGCAAGATACATTGTGTTCTCATTTTTCAGTATTAAATCATAGAATCACAGAATGGTTTGGGTTGGAAAGGACCTGAAAAACATCTAGTTCCAACCCCCCTGACACCTCTCCCTAAACCAGGTTGCTCAGGGCTCTGCCCACCCTGGCCTTGAACACTTCCATGGATGGAGCATGATCCGTGTCTTCAGAGAGGTGTCCTGAGACTCAGCTCAAAATTACTAGCTTGGAATGCACACAGAATTACACCCAAAGAAGGCATTAGTGCAGATATGAGAAGCTCTGAAGATGTGGAGATCATTGCCAGGATTTATCCATCACCTTGCCTACCCAAAGACAGCACCACACTAACATGATTGCACCATTTCTCTTACAGAGAGGATTTGGCTGTGCATCTTTGCAGCCTACCACTTGCACTCCACTGTGTATAAATGCCATGTGCCCGGGGCTGCCTGCAGCAGCACTGCACCAAGAGAAAAGAAGACACAGCTTGGTTTCCAAAGGTCAGAACTGTCTTGGCTCCGCAGCAAAACAGTGTTGGAAGTGTTGCTGGGAAAGCAGACTTTCTGCTTTAAGTCTGCCTGCAATTAAATCCTTCTGTAAAATCCACAGTTCTGTCTGGTTAAGTAGAGACTCCAGTGGTTTCTGAATGTAAATTAACTTTATGAGCAATAATAAATTAAAACTATCTTTCTTCATGCCATGCAGCAGTTGTAAGGAGCTTTATCACAACCACCAAGTACAGAGTATGGGGTCCTTAAAAAAGCTCTCAAAAATGATTGCAGGACTTTCAATTTCAAGTAAGAGTGAGTTCGATTTTACACTTCAGCAAATAAGAATGCATTCATAAATTTAGACCAGGGACAAGCTTTCTTTATTTTTGTATTCAAAATAGCATTTTTTTCCCTGTGGATTTTCCACCTAATTAAAGACGAGATATTTGTTGATGTATAAGCACTATCATTTGCCAAATCAGTAACAAAGCACACCAAATACTATAATGCATCTTGCCCTTTTATTGTATTGTGTTATAGACAAAGATGAGTGCATACAGAATAATCACTGCCATCACGACCGTAAAGTTGCAGTGTCACTCTGATCCCTTTGGGAGTCAGAGAACATCCACTTGTCATTCATTCCACCTTTTTATTGTAACAAGCTGCATAGAACAAAACTTCAACTGTTTCTCTAAATAAAAACATAGCCAAACCCCCAGTGCTTGTTAACAGGGCTTTGCAAGATTATTTAAGGTACCAGCAGAATAAGCATGCACAATAGCAATACAAAACTATAGACATGCTGTCCCTGAAAAGGTGAGCTGTGCTGGAAAATTCACAGGTTCAGTGCTGGAGCTCCTGCAAAAAAGCCACCTCAAAATCTGTGCATTACTTTGGTTCAAATGTAGGTGGGAGTAAAATAATCTAAGGTTGGTGTTTTGCAAAGGAGTGGTGTTAAACCTATTGTGGAATAAAATATAGTCTATGATAACCTCTATTGATTCTCACCAGTCAGTTACCAGTGCTATGGTGGGGTGAAATGCTACTAGGAGCACTGTGTTGCTGTTGGCACATTGCTGAGCACATACTCAGCAAGTCATGCTGCTCCTCTTTTATACAAACTAGGTCCTGATGACCTATAAAGGGTTTTAATAGAATACCACAAAGGACAAAGCAAATTCCCTACTTGAAATGCAGGTGCAAAGAAGCTTTTCCTTGCTGAGAACCACACGCCTTTCAAACAACTTTGGCACTCTATATGGTAATAACCTCCCTTGTGTTAGTGAGTATGACTGCAACACAAAACAGTAGGTTGGCAGCGGGTCATGGTTCCTTATTTCCCTATGCCTCATGTAGTAGATGAAATGGGAGGGAAGTGGTTTGGAAACATACAGAGAGCTACTACCATAACTTACTGAGCAGCCTGACAGCAAAATAGCCACTAATGGGAAGACACATGTATTAATAAAAATGTAATAAAACCAATGCTGCTGATACTGCTCCCATGCTCTTGTTTGTATAAAGGTGTCTAGCTTGTACCTAGATGCTCTAGCTGATATACAAGTCTCTATCAATTATACTCTGGGGATTACATTTTAAGCCCTATGAAAAGTTTATTATTACCTGCAAGAACTTTCCACTGGGGACATTTTCTGCTCTTCTCCCCCCAAAATAAAGAAAAAAGTAGAACAATGAGAAAGGATTTGTTATTCTTTCTCAAAGAGTAACAAGGCACAACCTTGTTGATACTACTATGACTACTACACTGCCTACATTGTTTTGTCCTCTCTTGTCTCACGCTGACTGCAGGAGGAATATTAATAGTATCAGCACTGTAACTCACTGCTACAGAGTGTAAAGTCCATGCAAGAGCTATGGACTGTTTTGGTAGAACTTAGATAGTCTCAAAACATGATTTGTAAGAGACTCTTGGGCATGCAGGCGTTCCACAGGCTCTCTGCCAAAGCTCTCTGTAAGGGCCAGTTTGAGTGGTTCAATCCAGTATGTGATTTGCCTAATGAAAGACACTTCTCTAGAAGATTTTGGCAGACGCAATCAGTTCAATTGCCAGGCAGTATTCATGTGATTACAAATGTTACTGATCACATTAGAGACTTAATAAATCTCTCCAAAAAGATCACAGCTACTGTGTGGCTCTGAAGAAATTGAAATTGTGATACAGATTACTGTGTTTGCTGCTCACTGGACTATTGACACAATTGGGAACAAATACCTTCCTTGGACTGCCAAGCACTGAGTGACAACTGTTAATTTCTAAATAGAGCCATGACTGCTTGTTTGTAAATGTTTGTAGATGTTCCTTTCCATGTTAGGGATACATTCTATGACAAATACATAAAAGAGTTTGATTCCACTGACTTTCACGGATCTATGGCAATTCACATGCACTGAGCGGTTGGCCTGAGAGTCCAAGGATGATTTTGGGCTTGAAATATGAGAAAAGCGAGGTGCTATCCTTGCATGAAACCCATGAGTGAGACTTTGGCACTGTTTCTTCCATTGTCATTTGAGCAGATGCAATATCGCACACGGTAATGATAAAACACATCAAAGCAAAAATGATCTAACAGCTGTACCTGTTGGGATAAAAGTCATTTTCCTTGCAGTGTGGCACAAGTTGCACTCTGTGTCTTCCTGTAATCTATTGAACAGCATTTTAAAAACTAGTAAGTGTTCATTGGCCAAATCTCAGTGGTCAATTCAGTGTATTGCAGGAAAGCAGTCGCACAGGCCTCTCTTTTCTGCTCTCAGGAGGAGGGTTTCTGCCTGCAAAAAACCACATGAAACCAAAGAAAGGAATATATCACTTTCAAAGACTGTATAATTGATGATTCCTAATCCCTCTGCACAGCTGTAGCCAAGGTGCTTTGCCGAGTGAAAAATCATAGTTATTAGTGCTGGTTCCCATCCAGAAAAAGTGATGAAATAAGGATACTCAGCACCAAGATGCATGGAGAGTATTTTTACAGTTTAAATGTTTCCATTTTCACAGTTCACTTCTAGGGAGGAGGCTGTCAGAATTATTAAAGTGTCCTTTATAAATGCTGAGAAAAATTCCACTTTCAACTGCACTGCTGTTAATTCCTTTGCCGTGATTGATGGCCTTCTGTTGAGGGTGTCTTTAGTACTGCAGAGCATAGCTGCAGCATACAGCATGTGCTGAGGAGCCAGTTGTGCTCTCAGTTACACTGCTGTCTCTCTAGAATAACTCTGGTTCAATTCAGCTGTCAGTTTAACCTAGTTGTCTGCAACTCATCATCTCTCAGGGCAGATCTAGACTTGAGTTTGTGGCTCTTCTCTTTAACCTGAGTTAATTTACTGAGAATTGCCTTCTTATCAACTCCACTTGGAGCCATGCCCCCAGAACTCCATCAAAAGCTTAAAAGCCATTCTCTATATGCATCATGTAAAATTACTTGCTCTTGGTTTTGGAACACTTTAGTGGAAAAGCATTTCCAAGCTTTATTCCTCTGTTTTCAGGGAAAAAAAAAAAAAACAGACTTCAGATCCTCAAAGATATTTAAGTATAATTTATTTAATTGTGATCAAATAACTTGAAACTTCTGTGGGTCCTGGCCTCATGTTTTGAGAAACAAAGGCTGAATTTTGCAAATAGCACCATCATTTCAGAAACTGAGTCTCCTGTAAGGCTCAAAATACAATTGTTGGTGCAAGAAACTCACATTAGCAAGTGCAGTTGAGACTGAAGAGAAACTTCTTCCTGAGCATATCTTGTGGTTTTCACCCTGTGGTCTGTGGTCCCTTAAGCACCTTGTAGGCTGACTTTGAAGAGCTTTTTGAGGGAGTAAAAAATGTTATCAGGCTTAAATGAACCATGAATGGGTTTCCCATCTGCACTGGGAAAAAAACACTGCAGTTTGAAAACCACTTGTTAACAAATTAACTCAAACTCTGTGAAATAACAAGATCTTCAGCCTGCTGGTGCTCCCCTGACATGGCACCTCCTTTCCAAAGGACTCACTTTCCAAAGGAGTGGATGGGCACTTCTTCATGGGGACCTGCTCCACCAAGCTCTGCCTTGCTTGGCCACCAGTACCTCTGTCCCCCATCAGTTCCCATTCTCTACTACTCATTTCTTGTTCTCAGACTGCAGGCTTTTGCAGGGAGAGGCTGATTCAGAACTGCTTTTGCCTCCCCTCCACAGCACTCTATCTTTTTCAACTCAAACTTTTGACATTTACTTTCTCATTAAGGAGGACTTGTTCACTTTCCTTGTCTGCTTTCACTTATCAGCTTAGTGCAGTGGCAGGCGTTATTAAGCACTGCTTCTCACTTGTACAATGAAATCTCGGATGAGTGAACGCTCTCATTGTTGGGAACCCAGTAGAAATCACAGAATCATCTTAACATCAAACAGGCTTATTGGATTTCACTGTAATGCCAACAAGCTGTCACTGTCAGCACAAACCCTGCCTGGGTGTCACTCATGGCTATGGGGTGCTGGTCGATGAGAAAATGAACATGAGCCGGCTTCAGTGTGCGCTTGCAGCCCAGAAAGCCAACTGTATCCTGGGCTGCATCAAAAGGAGCGTGACCAGCAGGTCAAAGGAGGTGATCCTGCCCCTTTGCTCTCGTGAGACCTCACCTGGAGTATTGTGTGCAGTTCTGGTGTCCTCAACATAAAAAGGACATGGAACTGTTGGAACAAGTCCAGAGGAGGCCACGAGGATGCTCAGGGGACTGGAGCACCTCCTGTATGAAGACAGGCTGAGAACATTGGGGCTGTTCAGCCTGGAGAAGAGAAGGCTGCGTGGAGACCTCAGAGCAGCTTCCACTATCTGAAGGGGGCCTATAGGGATGCTGAGGAGGGACTCTTCATTGGGGACTGTAGTGATAGGACAAGGGGTAATGGTTTAAAACTGTAACAGGGGAAGTTTAGATTGGATCTAAGGAAGAAGTTCTTTCCTGTTAGGGTGGTGAGGCACTGGAATGGGTTGCCCAGGGAGGTTGTGAATGCTCCATCCCTGGCAGTGTTCAAGACCAGGTTGGACAAAGCCTTGGGTGAGATGGTTTAGTGTGAGGTGTCCCTGCGCATGGCAGGGAGTTGGAACTGGGTGATTTTAAGGTCATTTCCAACCCTAAGTATTCTATGATTCTATTTACAGGCAGGAAGAGCAGCTCTGAGAGCACTCAATTGTAAACTGAAGGACTATGAAAGAGAAGCATCAATTACAAAAGCTAATTGCAGCCCTACTGTTATTGGCTTAGGAAGTTCCTGATAGGAGCAGTCCTGCTTGGGGCTTGCTCTTGTAGCAACAACTCTCAAAGCTCAGGAGCTGTTGAATGAAGTTATTTGTGTGTAAAACTTGTGTAGTTGTCACCATGAGCCAAGCACCAGCTGTTGAGTAAGGATATGGAGTCTCTACTTTTCAGAGGACAGAAGGCCACAGTGTGCCATCTGTAGGGCCTTGGCCACTGCATTTCACTTTAGTATCTCTACATCATTCAGTAATTTGTATTTAACTAAAGCATCTCTTCCAGAAAGGCCTTTAGAGTCCCAGTCCAAAAGGAAAAGGTGCACAATAATATACTTTACTGGTAGTATTGAATTCTGACTGTTGTCAAAGGGTGGGTGATGTTGTAGCTAACTGGTTATGTTTGGTTTGGTGACGCACTGTTCCTGTGCCCCTTGTTCTGTAATACTGAGAGCTCTCTGAAACAGTGCCTGTCGAGGTCCTCACAGAGACAGAAGCTCCAGAACCAGCTTCTCCCTTTACATTCTGCCTCACCTCTTACAAGACAGCTTTGTTCTCTGATGGACTGTATTCTCTGCTCTTCAAATAGCCAAAACAGATACACCTGAATAGGTCTGTAAGTGGGATTAAGGAATTGTGCTGCCTCCTTTGTATTCAAAAAAGTCTTTCCAATGCAGCTTAGGTGGAAATTTAGTACCTCCTCCAACTTCCCATGTGAAGCCTGGTGAAGAACCAACACAGCTGTGATTGACTGCACATGGTCTTGCTATGTCCTCTATAGGTACAAAACATTTCACTGAACCTAATCCAAACAGGTAAAACCCTGTTATGCACCAGAGCAGCCCAGCACAGCTGCTGGAGTTAAGGCCTCACTATTCACACCCCACTGCTTAAGAGTTATTTAGTATTATGCTAGCGCATGGGAAACCTTTGCAATGTAACCCGTACTGCACTCAGAGCTCAGTCCTAATCAGTTTGCTGTTGATAGCTCATGAAAGCTAAAGACATTCCAGCCTTAGAGTGTAGGGATCTACCTGATTGCCCAAGGTCACAAGAAACCAAAGGCAAAGCAACATAATTGCCCTTCTGTGTTATAGTTCGAGATATGTAATTGATTTATATCTCTTTGGTTGACTCCACTGTGAATGACAATTTGAGTGGAGCGTGCCTTTAGAGGAGCAAGAAGCCCTTCTCACCTACCAACAGGGATGGCACTGGTCAAAGGCACTGAGCAGGCACCCAAGAACTGGGAGATGAAGCTGTGAACTGATTTCATGTACCACAAGTTGCTTTACTGTCATGTGCCAGTGTTAAGGGAGCTGTTAGGGAAGGAAAGGTAGGACAAGACATACATGGGGGGCTTTACTAGAGGTGAGAGACCTCCTGCCTCTTGCAAACTTCAGACAGCATGGAAACCACTGTGGTAAGTCCTACCCCAGTCAGTGTTTGTGCATATGCATGAACCCACATAAATATGCATTGCTAAAATCAGGGCATTTAACACACCCTCATGGTTTGTTCATTGGGACCTCTGCAGCGCAAGACTGATGTGAAGTTGTAAAATGTCCTGTGTGCTGTGATAACACCTGAGCAAATATTGATCCATGAGCAAGAAATACAGGCACATCCCTTTCCTCTCTGCCTGCCCTGCCTGCCACTATCTTGGTCTCCTATTCACTTTCTGCTTGTGAACAGTCACTCCAAAGCTGGGAAGCAGTGCTGTGGGGTAAAGAGCAAATCAACTTTCTTGTTCTTCTCTCCTTCATACATCTTTCCTTCTCTATTTGATGCAGGGACTGTCTGGGCTGACTCTTTCAGCCTGTTATGCAAGAAGTCAGACCAGATGATCTTTAAGGAACCTCTCAAACCTGTGAAAAATAATCTGTACTTGGTACAATCCTATTTGCTGAAATGGAAGTGAGTCAGCAGAGATGTCACATCTGCTGTACACAGACAGGCAGACCTGGCCACTTGGAGATAAAGGCTAAGGAAAAGCATTTCTATAGAAACACAAACCCGTGTGTCTAGGTTATACGCCGTCTTCTTTAAGTCCTGCAACGCCCTCTGCATGAACTCAAATGCATGGCAGTCAACACAGGGACGACCTGGAAAAAGGAAGAGAATACATCATAGTCACAGCACAGAATCTGGAGTGTAGCAGTACAGAGGGGGAATACTTAAAGACCATGTAATGACAAGAGAAATCCCATTTCACCAGGCACCCACACCCGCACATCTACAACGTTAAGGCTGCCTGTGGACAGGGCTGTGTGTACCCTTGTGCAAATGTGTGAGGACTGGCAAAAACACAACAGCATTTTGTTGTGTGGGAGTTTGTGAACATAACCCAGGCTTGATCCTGCCCAGTGTTGTGTGGTCTCAGGCCCCAGCATCTCCCCTTAAGACTGGAATCATCACCCTCCTCAGATGTGTTAAATCTCAACTGATACCCTGAAAACAGCAGTTTGCAGGGGTTCAGGAATCAGAGAGGCAGGTCTGCTTCTACAGGAGCTCTTACAGAGCAACTTGGCAAGGGACAGTGCCAGATCTGTATTTGCTTCCTTTCACCTGCTGCTGTATTTTCTCTCTGCCAGAAATGCAAAGCATCCCACTGGCTCTGCAGCTGGTGCCAGTGTGTGTGCACAGAGGGCAGTGCAGCGAAAAGGCAGAGGAGGAGACGAAGAGGGGGGTCTTGACAGTGACTACAATGGCTCACTTCTGGAGCTGGGCATTTCTGCCCTGCCAGGACTCACCCTGCACTGATCTCAGGCCCTTTTGTTCACTCTCTAATAGAGTTTCCTGGGCTGTCCTCCTTGGAGGAGGGTCCTTCTGCAGACATAGCTCTGCCTGTGTCAGGTCAGAACCCCTGCCTGCTGGGAGCTCTGCAGTGGGAGAGCTCATTCCTCCAATCCAGGATGGGATGCAGCAGCAGCACAGAGAAGCAGCACCACTGGCAGGAGGTTGGAACTGGATGATCTTGAGGTCCTTTCCAACGCAAACCATTCTATGACTCTATGAGAGAACAGATGTACCTGGGAGGAGGTGACAAGCAGTTGGGGAGGTGGCTGCCTGTAAACTTCCACCCATGCAGCCCTACAGAGCATACACCCGCTCAGTACTTAGGGGACGGAACTAGGGCAGGGCTGATGTCTCAAGCATCTTGCACTAGAGCAACATGAATGCAGTTCCCCAAATAAAATAGGGACAATGCCCCACTACCTGGAAAGCCTATAGTTACCGTCAGACTTCTGCAGGCAGAGCTGCCCAAGTCTTGGCTCTAAGATGGGTTTTAAACTATACTAGCCAGAATCTTACAGTACCCCATAGCAGATACTTAAGGAAGATACAAGAATAAGCCTCTAGCAATGTCCTTCTAGCCTACCCAGAGGCTGGAGGATATCCTGTGCCTGGCTGGTGTTTCTATATTTGATAAGCCCTCCACAAATTTTTCTCACATTAATTTGCCCTGTGGCTTCCTGAATCCATGTAAACTTTTGGCATCTTCAGCATCCTGTGGCAATGAGTTCCACAGCTGAGCTATTCAGTGAGTGAACAAAATAACATTCCTGTCCGCTCCGAGGTTGACATCTGCTGCTTTCATTTCCTGCCTCTCATTTTTGCAGTGGAAGGGACAGTTCTTAAATATTCACCATCTTTGTCCTACTTATGACTTTCCTGCTCTCCATCACTCCCTGCCTTGGTGCCTTCTTTGCAGACACAAGCGCTGGGCTGCTGAACTGGCCTTAATCTTCCACCCTGGGGAGACCCCTCTTAGCTGGACTTAATCTCCCTTCATGCTCACAGTATTTTCAGTAGGATGCTCGTGGACATTTCCTCAATGTAATGATGCCTAAGGGTCTGTTTAGGTTTTAAACACATCTAAATCTGTGCTGTTGCCAATAGGAGCAATCCCACCCTGCTTTCTGCCCTTTGCTATGTGTTCTCACACTTTCCCTTGCTCACAGCAGGACTGACCATGCAGCTGCTGGTGCATCAGTTGCACTGATGTTTTCTCTTCAGATAAGATCCTGATCTCCAAGTTCTGGGGCCAGAACAAGAAATAGGACAAGGGCAGGAGGCCTGGTTACAGGGAGCAGAAGGGCAGAGGTTGCACAGGCTTACATCAGCTTAAAGCAATCATGAAACCAAACCTTAAGTCACATCCTAGCAAAGTACAACAGAGTGCTATTAATTCCTTGCTGACAGCTGAGAACAGACTATCATTCATAGAGAGACTTAACAGGTTTGTGGATTAACATAATGAGAATTATCAAGAGTCAGCTATAATTCTTTAAATGGGTCCTGTCAGCATGAAGACTGTATGTGTCTTTGTGTGTTTGGAAGAAGTGAGGGAGGAGAGCTTAAAATATGCTTCTTGGCTTCTTGTTGGTGACAAACTGGAACTGAAAACACTGTGGAAGTCTAATTTACTTTCCCTTGCATGTACATGGTGTTTAGTCTTTGTGCTTCATGCACCTTGGCTAATGAAAACAGACTGACCAGCTTCTGTTCTTCCAGTTCCACATTTGAGCTTTCACAGTGAGTGATCCGGGCTATAAATGCAATGGGAGGTTGGGGAAATGACTTCTTTTTTTTTCCAGTGCATTGAACTGAGCTTTAAAGAAGATGATCTGCAAACATGAGTAACATCACTTCATACTCCAACAGCCTTGCGCATATGCGAAGTGCTGTGTATGCAGCATAGGAACATGATTAATCATAGCTAATTAGCATTATTCATGAAGAGCTGGGTCTGGCTTGCAGGCTGGCAGAAAGTGTGCCAAGTGGAGAGCAGGTGATGGTACCCCAAGCCAGATACTGGTGTCACACGCATGGCAGGATCTGTCTGCACTGCTAAGAAGGACTGTGACTCACTGTCATGCTTCTCTCCTGTGCCTCCTGCACCTCCCACACTCACACGAGAGCACTTCTGTCCCTCTCCTGCTCGTGGGGCTGTAGGAGGGACACATTTCTCCCACCAAGTGGGAGACAAAGGCTGTAGTGTTGTGTGGTCCATGAGGGATTGTTCCTCCTAAAGGCAAGTTCCCAGTCCCATGTTGCACATCTGGCAACAGATATAATCATGGAGCATCACACTGGGCTGCCCTGCAGAAGGACACTTAGTATGGTTCATGAACATCATCTATCCCCGTCAAGAATGTATACTAGAGCTCTTTTTATTCACTTGTGTCATTTGGGATCCCACAACCACCAGTCTACCTGGGCTGACAGTATGGATTTCAGTGCCAGCAATAGGGAATGTGCTCCAGTAGCACTGCCCCCAAAATGAGTCACTGCCCAGGAGGATCAACTCCCTGATGAGAAATACCCAGTGCAGCTGACATCAAGCAGGAAAAGATCCAGGAATGTCTGTACTAGATCACATCAAAGGTCTGCCTGGCCCACTGCCCTGTCTCCCATGAGTGGCATCTTTTGTACTGCATTAGATGTGTCTAGGAGCATTCCCAAGCTTTGAGAGCAGCTGGCATGGGATCTCTGGAACAGTAAATTGTGTCTTTCAGACAGGGAGTTGGCCTCTTGTCATGGACAAAAGGGTGCCAGGGACCATCCTAGCAGGTTACTAGTACAGACATCCCCATGACAGGGAACATCACTGGGGACTGGTTATGGACATGACCTTTGTGGTTGGCAATGGATGCAAATGAAAAAGGATAAGAACAGGACAAGATGTATCCCCAAAGACCCTCTCAGGCCTGAGGAATATGCTGAGGCAGCTCCTGAGCCAAAAGGACTGCTGCTGTATCTAACAGCCATTTCTAAGTTTTTTTTTCCTGGAATTTTCCCAATCAGTTCTGCAAACTTCCAGCATTCAGAGTGTCCCAAGGGAGGAGTTCCACAGGTTAACTATGAGGAACAGCCCCAGTAGGCAAAGGATGGTACCTGAAGCACTCAGCAGTTATGCAGCACTCTCTCAACAAGTGGCTCATTAGGAGCATCCTGAATTCCTTGTTGTTTTAAACTCTGTCCCTGCAGCAGCACAGAACAATTTACAATTCATGACCAGCTGACAGTCTTCCTCCTGGCCTGGCCTCAGTCATAAATACTGTTACGTACTCATAGCGATGCTACCAGCCTCTGTACTCAGGACAGAGCAGCACATCTCTGCAGATACTGGCCACAGAAACATTCTGCCCTTCATCCCTCACTCTCACATGCAGGAGTAAGACAAGGCAAGGCATCTTCCTCAAGAGCTCTTCAGGGGACTTGGCGGCCTGGCCAGAGGACATCAAAGAGATAACTCCTTGAGACTGGGGTCAGACTGGCCAAGAGTTCTGCTCTACAGGTAAAATGGGAGTTCGCACTGCGCAAGCAGAACAAGGAACCACTATAAGCTTCTTCCCCAAAATCTCCTCTGCTAACACAGGCACACAAAGGCACATATAATTTCTTTTTCAACCATGATTTTCTCCTTGAGGAGACAGAGAGGAATACTTGTTATAAAAGTTATTAAAATCAATCAATGCCCAGAAAACAGACCACAACAGATCACAGAATAGAGATGAGCCTGGTTTAGATCAAAACTTAGGACTTACAGAAAGAAGAGAGTGTGATAAAGGAGGGAATCAACATGTAAGTCCAGAGACAAATACTCATAGGTGTATTTGAAAGCTGGTAATGGAATTATAGGAGAATAAAATGCAATGACTAAATCAGGTCTTGCATTAAATGCTTTGGTAGCCAGGTATACAAAGCAAGCATGACTAAGAACTAGAGGTTGGTTTGTATGCAATTACCTTCCTATGTTTTATCTCTCCCAGAGGATATGTTAAGTTTCCAATGAGTGGCTACTTCCCACTTCCTGTCACCAAAACACCCTGAGAACATTGACTCCATCCCCTCATATCTTTGAATTATTGCCTCATTTTGGAGCTGAGAAAGTTTAACTAGAGACTTGCTCAAAATGACAGAGGAAGCTGATACAGAGCTGTGATCCCAACCCAGGAGCTCCCTGGCGATCGATGCATTGCAAGTAACTGTCTGGGTAAACTCCCCCTCTGTCAATCTGTAGTAGTCGCAAGAAAGTTGAACTTGACCTATTGTTCCAGCCAAATATGAAAATAAGCGAAGTAATGTCCTAGGAGAAATAAACACAAGTTTTCTTCTAATGCTATCCCGACTAGCGAGGACATTACATGTATTGTGGCAAATCAGGAAGCGAAACTCTCTCTAGAAGCAGATCTAACAGACCTACAACCAAAGAGCTTTGAAAACAAGCTCCACTTAAATTTACAGTATGCAGTTAGCATCTTTTCCTATATAGCTACTAATCCTTTGTTTGCTTGTTGTTTTTATAAGCACTGTTGTCGGGTGCTTTGCTGACACGTTACAAATGCATCATTACTCCCTCTCTAACCAGGCAATGCAGCGTCCCCCTGGAACTCAAGGTCTGTGCGGCTGCTGCGGGCTAAGTGGAGGGAAGCACGCAGGACACTGGGCAGCAGGAGGGCACGAGTGCACGGCAGGTACGTACTTTCTGCAGGAATGACACTCCCGGAGTCCTGGCTGGCCCCCACAAGGCTCACACTTAGCAGGGCAACCACCGAGATGACCGGGATGGCCACACGCGTCACGCTCCAGGCAGACGGCAGCGCCATGGCTCTCAGCAGTAATTCCAGCTATCTTCCCTGCCTGGAACGAGGAGAAACAGTGAAACTCAGCAGTTTGCTCCCCACAAAGGAGAGGATGAGATGCGGTAAGCTCAGACCCGCACGCACACACAAAACCGCACGCACACATCACTGCAGCCGCACGCCACGGGCTCGGATGCACCCCAAGGACCGGATTGCCAAGTACCTGATCTTTCTCTTCACCTGTGTGTCAGACCCTGGGAGCAGCTGAAGCGAGGAGGAGAGGCTCCAGCACCACTCTGAGCATGCGTCCCCTCCGCACCCCCTCTTCCCTGATTAGGGTCATTGCCATGGAGATTTGCTATAGCAACACTGAAAAATTGGAGCTGCCAAGAGGAGAAGATTTAAAGAGACCACAGTGCCTCTGCTGTACTCCTCCTCTGCCTCTGCTCCTCAAAGGCCATGTCCTCTCAAACACTGGCTGCTGCCCATGAGGGTCTTAGGCAATTTTTATGTTGCTTTTGCTCCCAAAGGGACTGTGCTGAAACACCCAGCTTCCATCCCTTGCTTTAGCTACAACTCGCTCAGAATGAGGTTTTTCTTTCCAGGAGGTTTCAAAACAGATGAAAACTCAGACGTTTGCTTGGAAAAATGAAGATGCAGGGCCTGCCGATGGCACCCTGCACTCTGGGGAACACTTCATTAGCAGCTTCATTTAACTGCACTGAACACGGAGCCTGGGGGAAAACAGCAACATTGGCACAGGACCCAGCCAGGAGTATGGATCCTGTGCAGCTTCACACTAGGTAACCATGATAACAGCCCAGCCAAAACCCACGCACCGCACAAGTTTGAGGATGCTCGCTTCAAGCTCAGCTCTTGGTATGGGATTCTGCTAATAGGCTGTGTCCTGCCGAAGCTCAAGCACGAGCCCTCCTGGATAGGGATCTCTGTAAGTATTTAGAAAGAGGAGGTGATACCTTTTGCAAAAGAGAGAGAAATGCTCTCAACACCTGTTTGCCCCAGAGCATGGTTAAAGACTCCTCTTGCTATGTATCTGTCCCATTCGTGGCTCACGGGAACACTGCCTCCTCTCAGGAGGGAGCAGGCTCCATCCAGCCTTCCTGGTCTGTACAGAATAATTAACCTGCTAGGCTGCTTCTATTTGACTTGTTCCTATGGCTTCCTTAGAATTACCTCTTACATCCCCCATTGCGATGCTTATGCTTCTGGGCCACGCTTGTTTAAAAGTTGTCTCAAAGAACTCCAGGCACTTGAACCACTGGCAAAGTGGTATTACTTTATTCAAGCCATAGAGGACTTTGCAGGGGGACAGCCCAGAGCTGTGGAAGCAGTTCCTGCAAGAATGAGACACACTGAGCAAATTCTTAGCCCAAAGTGCAACTGAAACTCTGCTTTCCTTGTGTGGAAGGTCCTAATAAAGACCCCCAGTCAATGGGGTCTTCATAAGGTGACTCAGGGCACACATGCGCACCAAAATGGCTCCACTGACTTTATGAGAAGTTGAGACTCTTAAGCCAAGCTCCGAAGTTGGGCGCTCAAAGTGAGGTTGTGTTGTTGGCCCAGTTTAACATTGTTCATCTCTTCACAGGTCCCAGATGCCTGTAAAAGGAGCAGCTCCTCAAGAACCAGGATATAATGGAACAGCATTGTACAGTTTTACTCACCTAGGTCTGGTCACATAGTCTGGCCCTGATCTGTAGCTTTAAATAACACCAAATGGAAATTCTGGCACAAAATCCAATCCTTATATTTCCATTCACCCTGGCATATGTGTTTCTTGCACATACCCTCATTATGGTCCCACCATACTTTTCATACAGGAGCTTCAAGTAAAGGATAGAAAGGAATTGCCTGCAGATGCAATAACCTTTGATAAGGTGAAAAGCACTGTTTGTTCTAATATTTTTTCAAGATATCAATATATTCTTTTTTTTTAAACTGTAACTTTTTTGTAAAATATATTTCATCATTGCTTGGTGCTTTCAGTAGGTAGAACAGCAGTACAATCCACAGTGAGAGAAGGAATCTGGCATCTCAAGCAGGAAGGGTAACCATAAAAGTAAGCAGAGGTGTTACCCATCTTAAACAACTGCAGAAAGTATAAAAGGGGATCAGAGATCTTGGGAAAACTGTAAAAGAAAGAGAAATGAAGGTCCTGAAATATGTCATTCCCAGCATGCCAAGACTCCAAGGATGCCTACATATATCTTGTTATTAGGGTCTGTATACCACAGCAAAGTTTTGCATGGTTGTGTATGCATCCAATAAAGTTTGCCTGTGAGAGGCTGGATTGTCTTTGTCTTGGTTTCTGACTGCTCAATCACCCAATGTCCAGAATTAACAGTGTGATAACACCAAAGCAGTCCTTGCTGAATAGCACCACTCCCACCCAGACAGTACAACAGCACGGAACCTGCTCCCACTTGTGACAGTGGGGGGATCTGCAGTAGGGCACTCTCTATTCACCATCTAATGAGGTGGAAGGTGTCATTTCTGTGTTACAGCACATTACTTTAGCCTTTTTTTTACTTGCTGGGTGCCAACATGAAACAATCAAGACATTGCACTTGCAGAGCTGGGCCAGGTTTTGTGTCAAATTACATGGTCTTTAAGAAGCATAAGAAAAGTCTCCAGTTCCTGTTGCTAACAGAACTGCGTGGTCCAAGATGGAGTTCTCAGTGCACAGGGAAGAGGAGCCAGTCTGGGTGGAAAAATTCTATAAATCTGTGTTGTTCTATCACCTCCAGCAGTGCTGAAGAAGACAGAAGCATGAAGCACTTGCATCTCTTGCTTTCTATTACATCCACTGTCGCCTACCACTATGACTAAGGGATACCAGTACTAAATTTGCTTTGAAGGATGAGAAAATTCCAAGGGATTCATAGGGGTCCATTCCTGGCTGAAGAATGTCACAGTGAATCCCAGAGGGCTTTTGGCAATACATATACTTAATTTTTCTACAGAGAATCCATGCCTAATTGTGAATTGCTAACAAAAGAAGAGTTTCCTCCAAAATAGTCAGAAACATTAAGCTATTTCTTGGGAAAATGATGAGTATGGAGAGATATCTGGTAGCTCGCTCTTATTGATGCCTATGTGTTACAGGTATTGAAGGTTACATCTTTGCAGTGGAGGAAGAAAATGCATATACCTCGCTAAAATCACTAACATTAAAGGTCTGAGTTAAATACGTGTGCATAAAAGGAAGGTGCAGGCAAAAGTTCTAATTTTAGAACTCTATTATTATAGTCATGGATACATATGGCAAATAGGGTGGTTAATCCCAGCCTAATATGAAGTGCTAAATCATTGCCTGCTAACATGGCCAGAAGCCCTTTGTTAAACTCAAACAGAAAAAGAAAGCACAGAGACAGAAGAATCTGTGCCTGGTTACTATTACTTGAATAATAGAATGGCAAGAGAACACAGGCACAACCCCAGAAAGGCCAAGAAGCAAAACCAGATGCAAATAGTGAGAAACATGAAAAATAGCAAGAAAGCATTCCTTGAACACACAGGCACTAAGGAAGACAAAAAAACAAGTGAAGAGTTTGGTCTCTGTTCAGCAGACAGGGAAAGTTAATCAGGTTGATGCCTAGAAAGTGATACAGGACTTACCAACCAAAACCAGGTGAACTCATGAGCAGGAGGCAAGCACAACTAACACCAGTGAACATGTCTTAGGTAAATTTGCCCTGGTTACATATGCCTGTAGGTGTGTGCAAAGTCACTTTTCTGTGTTTCAATCTGCCTACAGCTCTCTTTTTACTCAGGGCTATCACTAGACCTACCTCAGGACATCTAAATAAGAAACTAAAGCAACCACCATCAGCAATTATTGCTGAGAGCTCAGGGAAGATGTGAGTTATACCAGCCCTGGAAAAGGTTAAATGCAGTGACTATCTTTAAAAGGAGGAAGAGGAACTGGAAAATAACACAGAGCAGTTTATGGTCAATCCCTGAGAATGTTTTAGAAGCAGTGATCCCACCAAGTTTCTAACTACTTGGAAAACAAGAACTGGAGTTGCACATAAGAGCTGCTTGCCAAGAATCAAGTCAAACCAGTTAAGTTTCCTTCTGTGACATGGTAACAGGCCTTGAAGGTAGGGAAAGCCAAATTTAATCACCTTCAGGAAGATTTGGCTCCATCCCTGGCAGGGGTGTTGGAACTGGATGATCTTAAGGTCCTTTCCAACCCAAACCCTTCCATGATTCTATGATTCTATGATTTCTATTGCTGTATCACACAGCATTGTCAGAAACAGCTAAGGAAACTGCTCTGAGGCCAGCAGAACCAGCTGGGTCACTGCTGAGAGTTAGCAATGGGTCACTGTCCCCATGGAAAGATCTATCACATTGGGATTGCAGAGACCCACTTAGTTCAAGTTATTTAATTATTCAGCATTTCATTAGTCAGCTGGATAATGAATAAGCAAACTGTTTAAGAAGAAACATCAGCCTGGTGGTTCTAAGCAATGCTGGGGGAGAGGATTAGAATTGTAAATCATGCAGACAAGTTGGAAAAAGGGTCTAAAAACAGAATACAGTTTTATAAGGATGAGAACAAGGTGCTACACTTCATCAGGAGTCATCAACAGCTCGTATTTGGAATGAGGAACAGCAGGTTAAGTGGCACTTCTGTGGTGGAGCTAGGGAGTCATGAGTTGGAATCAGTCTACAATGATCTGTCGCTGCCAAAAAAGGGCAATTATACTGGATATACAAAATGAAGCGCAAGAGCTTAGACTGCCTTCAGCAGCAGGGCTGAGCTGTAGAACTGCATCTGGTCTGGTCAATGCAATGCTAGGTACTGGCAGAGACACCAAGAGCAGCAGAAATAAGCAGAGGTGTAATTGCATCAAGGAGGCACCACCAAAGCCCCTGGAAAACTTCTTAATGATAGGAAGAGCGTGGGGACAGATTATCTCTGGAAGACAGGGGGATATTTAAGCCTGTAAGTATAAATTAGGCATCATTAGGAATGGCATTGGGATAGGTGGCCCTGCATAAAGACAAGGGATGGGCTGCATGATTTCTTATGCATACCTCCTAGTTTCTTGTGATTCTACAATTACAAGAATCATTTTGCTTTCCAGGCAGCCACTTCCTAGTTCTTGGTGCTGTAATTCCAACATAAACACAGACACCCCTGGGACAAATACATTGCCCTCGGGCAGCATCTGAAATCCAGGCTAACTATTTCTCCTTCCTCAGTTATCAGGGCAAAGGCAACGTTTTTTCTGGTCTAAGCAAGTATGATGGCTAGAGAACATTGCCATTTTAGGATGGGTCACTGATAAAGCAATTCAGAGACATTTGGCTGCAGGGCAGATGACAGGGCCCACACCTTCTTAATCCTCCTTTAAATACTTATTTCACAGCCCCGCAGATGGATTGAGAGGTGAGAGGTTGGTGCGCTGCAGATCTTGTATTGTCTTTTTCTCTGACAGCAATCACCGACCTGAGAAGGACAGAAAATTAAAGCACCCAATACTTACCTTGTCCCTTATGCCATGAGGCAATGATTCACCTTCGCTTGATAGCTTGGTATCTCCTTTAAACACTAAGTCAGAGGTTTGGCGAGGGGAAAAAGTCTCCCTCATGAAATGACAAATGTGTTCCTGGCATCGTTGCCTGACAAGTTCCTCATCTTACAGCTTCCTGGAAAACCCTTCAGGAATCCAGCCACAAACCAGACCTTGGTCAGAATTAGATGCTTCGAGACACTGCGGCTGTCCCAACAAAGTCCACATGACTCTGCAAAACGGGGATGTGGCTGCAAATAGGGAGTATGGTAGACACTTAGCACCCTTAAAGCAGGAACTAGTCACCTCCAAGAGACTTCTTCCACCACTGTATAAGATGCGGGAAAGCAACCAGACTTGACCAGTTCTCCAGAAATCAACTGAAGCCAAGTGTGACAAGCATCTTTAAACACCTTCTAAAGCCTAGAATGCTTTATGTTACACAGGAGGGGCTGCTGTCAGAGCTAGTATGAAATGAAGCTCAACTCAGGCTTTTATTTCCAAGAAAAAGTAAGAGCCACTGGCAAAATACCAGCTTTCCTAGTTTATATTTGAGGTTTGTATTGGACTGCTGGAAATCCAGCAACTGAAATCACTGTGCTGGACATGGGGTAAATTTACAGCATAGGCAAGGGTTGTGTACTGTTTGTGTACTCTTAGTCTGAATGCCACTGACAATGAAGCTGAGCTATTTGTCTTGCTACTGCCAGTCTTATCCCTGTCTAGGAACATACGAGCATGTCATTTTTTACTGTCTAGAGAACTGAGTGTAAAAATCCCTTCTGAATCCAATGTGCTCTGATGCCAGGAAGAGCCTGTTTTTTGTCTTGTTAAGTGATGGGACTTGGGCATGTTGTTCTGTGGCTATCCAAACCAGAGGAACAAAAGGCAGAGGCAGTTTTCCTCTGTGTATGTGCATACAGAAAGGGGAGGTGGGCAGATCTCATTTTATGTTAGAAAAGCTTTTGACTTCTAGGATGTGGTTTAGCATTCCACAGATAAAATAGTTTGATTTTACATCATATATAAAACAAACCATACTTTAAATGTGTAATATACCAGCTCTCAAAGGCATTTAAACATTGTTCAGTTCCCATTTGGATGCAAGACTGAATTGTGCATCAGTTATATTCAGTGCTGTTGGCTGAAACCAGATACTCTTCACAAGCCAGATACTTCATTACAGTGTATATAGTCCAGGATGAATGTAAGAGCTGCTCAGGCAAGAAACCCTGTGTATCAAATTTACTGCATGGATGAAGTTCTCTTTAACTGGGGAAGAGAAATAACCCCCAATGCACAGAGCTTTGAAAGTCAACTTAGAGCACTATGGACGGCCTCCAATGAAAGCCTTGACTATGAGCACTCACAAATGCTGGTGACCTTTCCTTTGGTTCCAAGGTTTGTGTCTCTCACCAGCCCTTATATCAAACTGAAAAGGTGAAAAGGTTTCAGAGTGAAACCACGGTCATCGTTTTAGGTTATGGTCAAGAGCTGAGTAGCTATAACCTCACTAAACCTGGGATCACTGGGAACTTTGAGGTCTGTTGGGATTCGTGCAAAGGAAAATGCTAAGTTTCACCAGGCTCAGTGCAAAGCCACACAAAATGACAGCTCTTATCAGTATTGTTTGCCCAAATGAACATTGGTTTGATAAAAGGTTAGTCCAGATGTAATTTATGTTAGCATACCTTTCCATTACTTTGGACTAGCCACAGTTCTGTTACACAGAAAAGCTCCTACACTTGCTCTGTTGTAGAAAAGCCCCTTAGATAAATGTGCACATCAAAATGTCATGCAATAAAAATTCATTGAATTTAAAGCTACACAGAAGCTGTGTTTTGGCCATACTTTCTCTAAGAATTAACACAAGACCCTAACTGCTGTAAAGCAATAATTGACACTTCACAGAGCAAAAATACCTCAGTGATGGGATTCCTTCATTTCTCTGTCAGTGACATCTACTGGTGTTTGCATAGCCAAATGTTTAATGGAGTTTGGGAATAAAATAAAGGAATAGTGTAAAAAATAAAGTACTAGTATTTAAAAAAAAAAAGAATATAGCATCAATGCTTAGAAAACATGTAATAATTATGTGTAGCTCGGGGCTGAGGCTGCCATGCTGTTGGCCTGAGCATGAACATAAGTGTTAAGTTCTCCTGTTAATGTACACATACAGATTATTCAGACCCCCCCACCTCAACACAAGAACCTGAACACTGGCCTCCCTTGAGACCTGTTTCCTGCTTACCCTGTGGAACAGTCCAACTTGCATCACCAGTCAGCAGCCTTTCCAGTTGATTTGGTCTCTAAAAGAAGAGTGAAGCTATATAAAGAATACCAAGAGAGCTGCCAGTCCTGTTCCATTTTCAGAGTCTATCAACAAAGAGAACAAGCTATAGTTTTGTTGCTTACATGACCAGAAAAGTGCAGTATCACTCTACTTGGATTTATACAGCAACAGGTGCTCAGGTTAATGAAGAGAAGCTGCTGTATTAGTAGGTGTTAGGCAAGTCCATGGTTCAGAGCAGAAATCAAATATGACAGCCTTGACTATCAGGAAAGAGAAGTGTAGGCAGACCAATGTAAGAAATAGAATACATGTGGATATTTGCCTTTTCTTTCTCACAGCACACATGTCTGGAACTGTTTTTTCTTATGTTTTAAGCCACTTCTTCAGGAGCTTAGAGGCCTTGAAAATACCATCTCTGCCTCTCCCTATTGGAAAAAAGTCACAGCTGGAACAGCAAGCTGCAGCTAGAAGGTTAAGGGGTACCTACATGGATATTAAACTGCAAACCTATGCATAAAACCAAATAGCATGCTTGAAACTGGAGGAACAGGCCAGCATATTTTACACTGTGATCTTTATTTAATGATTTCACAGCACCTGCAGGTGTGATGGCCACCTTCCAGTGCTATTGGCACGATAATGGCTTTGCCTCAGACAGCTTTCAGTGTAGTCACAAAGCAAGAGACAATCATGTGATGTAGTACAGGGAATAAATCATGATAAGGTGGACAGCAAGAAGGATGCATGTATGTTCTGATAGAACCATAGAATGATTTGGGTTGGAAGGGACCTTGAAGCTCATCCAGTTCCCACCCCTGCCACGGGCAGGGACACCTTCCACTAGACCAGGTTGCTCCAAGCCTCATCCAACCTGGCTGTGAACACTGCCAGGGATGGGGCAGCCACAGCTTTTCTGGGCACCCTGTGCCAGCACCTCACCACCCTCACAGGGAAGAAATTCTACCTAATATCTAATCTAAATCTCCCCTCTTTCAGTTTAAAAACATCCCCCCAGTGGCCCTATTAAATACATATGAAACAACAGTTTGGATTTAACAGGGACCTTTGAATGGGGGAAAAAATACATTTCTTTTAGGAGACACGGTGCTAGTTTCAAGTATGATGGGAAGAGAAAGCCTGTTAGCACTAACCCTTTCAATTTTTCATGTTACAAATGTCAGGCTTTCAGAGGGCAGAGAAAATACTGTAAGAGGCAAAACAGTGCCAGAGCCATCAGAGACGTAGGACCATGAGTTTGGAAGGCATTTCCCAGCTCAGTATCATGACAAACAATCACTTTCAGACATTTTTTTTTCACATGCACAAGTGTTTTCTACTCATGAGTGCCTCAGTGCAAGGTTTCTTTATAGCACAGGAGAGAAAATCTGCACATCCAATGGTCAGCACATGGGTAACTAGGACAGTTATGCAGTACCTCAGGACAGCAAACTAGGCTTGAGCAAAAAGCCAAGAGGTTGAGCAAAACTCTGCTGCTACTTTGGTGGGTTTGAGCAAGAGGTAAGGCAGAACAGTCATTCAACTGAAGGAAAATAGGTAAGGTGGGCTTTAAAGGAGCATACAGAAATTTCCACTAGGAAATTCATGATTCTAATGGATCTTCTGCAGGCTGAAAGACTTCAATACTTTCACATTCTGAGGAAGTCATTCTCTTCCTTGGAATGTTATTCCTCTTTCCCCATCAATTCCCCTCCTGACTGCTTTCTCTTGGGGCAACAGCTATCATGTCCTATGCTTCACTACCCCAGTTCTGTTGACGTGAACCAGAAGGTAGAGGTGTAGCAAAATGACTGAAGGAACCAATTCTGGTACTTCCTCAAAGTTGTGCAATGGGAATGTTGGCTTCCCAAGTAAAAAGAGGCCCTTCCTCACAATGTCTTCCCTGGACCAAGGAATGAGATACCAGTGTTGCTCAGCACCATGTTCACTCACTCCATGGTAAATTGGAGTGCCACTCATTGCTCCTGAAGTGCTGCCAGTTGGACCTAAAGGGACTGCTGACCTGAGGAGTATCAGCCCCACTGCTCTCACTTGCAGTGGCTACATACAGAGTCGTCAGGACTGGGGGCCAGCACTTCACTGAGAAACCCCTGGGCCTAGAGAGGGCAATGCCAGACTGGAAGAGGGAATGGAGGTTGCACAGAGGGAGAGCCAAGGCAGGTCCAGAGCAAAGCAGAGGAATACAGCCAAGCTAGAACAAGAGGACAGCCCAAGTGCAGCACAACCCAAGAAGCTCTGATCTGCTAGAGCCAGGATCAGCTGAAGCCCTCCAAAGGGGGCTTTGCTTCACGAAGTCCAGAAAATACTCAGCCATGTGTAAGGACTGCTGCCCCTTCCCCTTCTCTGGGAGTAGAGCTGCAGGGGAGGCTTGCAGTTACCTTATTCTGCCAAGCAGCGAGATATGAGCTGTGTCAGTGCTCCCAATGCTGTGTAGACAGGCCTAGTGAAGAACACAGGGCACAGGAGATCCTTGCAGGAAGAAACTCATAAACTTCTTGCACAGAGCTTTCCTGCACCATGATGTTGAGCAGTTGCTGGTGGTAGCATTTGGTAGAGCTGGAACTGGCAAAGCTGCCTACTCATATCCTTATTCTCCTATTCTATCTATTCAACCTGCTATTTAGAGATACAGTGGGTTAAAAATGGAGTGTTAAGGGAAGGAGTAGAAGAAACTAAAGGTTTTAATTAAAGAAGACAATACTCTTATGCAGGATACCAGGAAACTCAGCACTAAGATATAAACTGTTTTGCTCCAAGTACAGCACACATATAACTCCTCATGGCACATACCTCATTACAGCTGACAGAACTACAACATGCCTGATATGTACTCAGTGCAGACAGTAAACAGAAAGGACTTCCATCATCTTTAATACACAGGCAAAGCCTACAGAGACCACAACGTCCTGTCTCAATATAACTGGGTAAGTTGCCACAGATAGATACATGTTCATATTAGAGACAAAAGCCAGCTGCAAGCACCACTAGAGCAGTGCTGGCCATAATTATCTTGTGGGTTACACTTGGCCAAGTCTCATTTAAAAGTCAAAGCAGGTAAATTTCTCCCGCACTTCAATACCAAGTAACAGATTCACTGAGCTGAGCCTTTACTGGTAACCCAGTGGCTGTGAAAAGAGTACTCTTTACAAAAAAAAAAACAAACAAAAACAAGCCCAGAATAGACAAATACATAAAACACAGCTCTCCAGTTTCCTCTGTACATTGGGGCATACATGCTTGCAACATGAATTCCATAAGGCTGTCTTTTACACAGCTGCATTTCAAACACCGCTGAAGAGGTGATGCTCCTTAGCTGGCCTCCAGGATTCAGTTCAGCAAGTTTGCAGTTACACAGTCACATAGGTTTCTCTTTTCTACCTGAAGAAGCAGAGTTTCTGTCTGTAAGAGAGGGGAACAAAAACAACATCAAAAAGCAACTGTCAGCACTTGTGGCTTCAGGAGATGCGTGATGGAGCACACAGAGCTGTTTGACATCAACATCATACCTTCATCTCGGTTTGTCTATTATGAGTTGAAGCTGTAGCTGAGAATCAGTCTGATCCAAGAGAGGACTTTCCCTTTATTGTCATGGGACACACAAGCTATGGGAAGCCCACTCACCAAATTAACCCCCACTGGTGCAACCAGCTACATCCTTAATCTGCCTGTTTTGTGATTCTCATATGAGATGGAATTGCTGTGTGATTAAAGGCTCTGTTTTAAAAGCTGAGTTATCCACTGACCCACATCAGATAAAGGCACTTAGAGCAGAGCTGGGCTGCTTACCACCAGCCTTCTTAGTACAGCACAACCTGAAAATCTGTTGGACAGGTTTGTTTCCCATATGATAAATCACTAGACATAGCCCTGTGGGTTTATATTAAATCAGATATCGTTTTTGATTGTATCAGCTGCCCTGCAAAACTGGAAACATCTGATCAGACTTGGTTAGACACATAAAAGACACTCAATCACCACCTTCTAACCATCTCCCTGACATTGTTTGCAATGGTTTGAATAAGGCAGGTTGACAGTGTGCCAACAGCTTTGGAGCTAAGCCCCAAGGCTGCTTACCATCTTCTGTACCTTTAATAACATTTCCAAGCCTTTGTTTTCACTTTCATGGGCACATCTAACTTAATGTGCTGTGAACATTCCAAATAACCACTGACAGTATAGAAAGGAATAAAGAACAAAATGAATAGCACTAAATACAGCTTTTCTGACTGTTTTGAGAGTGTGATCCCAAACCCATTTGCACAGAGATTTGTTACCCCCTTGGTGGGTTAAAGCACATGTAAAAAACCCACAAAAACTAAACCAGGGCAGGGTCCAGATTCTGAACCTACAAAAAGCCTTCTAAATTCCAGCTAAAATGCAGTTCCTGAGCTCCTTAAAGTTGTAATCCATGTCTGCTGGTAAATCCGTCTGACAAATGGGTTGGAATTTTGAAGGAAGTGTCTAGTGTGCAGACTTAGAGCCACCTGTGTAGCTCATGGACTGGATTTGTTTTATTGCTCCCTGCTGGCCTCTGCCTTGAGCAGCTTTTCATGCAGTAGGGAGCTGGCTGTAAGCTGGATGAATGGCTTTGATGATAGCAGCTTCCTCCCAGCAGTAGAAGAACCCTCCCCCCAGTTCATGATCAGAGCTGCACCTGCCATGTACTGTGCTTTGCCTGAGTGGTTCACCACAGATATTCCCAGAAGAGATCGTTCAGAATTGGTTACTGCTGTTAAAACAGCTAATGCAGCCTGCAGCCTGCTCCAGGGACCAGCAGCAACCAAACGGTGGAAAACAGTATGGAGGGGGGCAAACTGAGGTGGTATGTGCATGGGTAGAAGCCAGCCTCTCAGAGGTGGTCTGGGATACTTCACCCACTGCATGAGTAAAATGCAGCCACAGTGTCCATCAGTAAGTGATCCTCATATCTGTGTAGGTTACAGATATGTCTAATCTCGTGAAAGGAAGGAGATATGAGGATGATAATGTTGATACAAGGATGATCAGGGGCTGGAGCATTTCCCATACAAAGACAGACTGAGAAGGTTGGGGCTGTTCAGCCAGGAGAAGAGAAGCTGTGTGGAGACCTCATAGCAGCGCTCCAGTATCTGAAGGGCACCTACAAGGATGGGGGAGAGGGACTGTAGCAATAGGACAAGGGGTGATGGGTTCAAACTTAAACAGGGGAAGTTTAGATTGGATATAAGGAAGAAGTTCTTTACTGTGAGGGTGGTGAGGCACTGGAATGGGTTGCCCAGGGAAGTTGTGAATGCTCCATCCCTGGCAGTGTTCAATGCCAGGTTGGACAGAGCCTTGGGTGCCATGGTTTAGTGTGAGGTGTCCCTGCCCACTGCAGGGGGGGTGGAACTGGATGGTCTTAAGGTCCTTTCCAACCCTAACCATTCTATGATTCTATGATATAGCCTATGTCCCCCATAAATGGCTATGTGACCTAGGCTACAGTCAGTATGCTTTGCAAGACACAATGCAGATAAACACAGGGCAAATTAAGTGTGAAAACTCTTGAGGTGTGCAATAAAACTATACGGCTTCCCCTGTAAAGACCTGCAGGGTGAGATCTGCAGGAAGAATTAAATGGGAATTTTCTCTCTGTGCTTTTGAGCATCACTCCCCCTCCAACACAGTTAAGATTTGCTTAGTCATCAACTAAAAGTCTTGCCTGGAAACAAAAGGGTTTTTCAAGGAAATGAGTGTCTCCGGTGGGAATATTTACAAAGGGAATTGTATTTTCAGGGACAGAAACATTTGCTTCACTAAGCAGTAAAAGAGATTAAAATAGTCCATGTAAAATATATATGTGGCTGAAAGCAATTGTGTTAAACCTCTCAGTTTGCATCAAATTGGGCCACAACTGAATAATAAAACTAAGAACTGAAACACTGTAAAAGGTAACTCAAAAAAAACCCAACCCTCAACTATTAAATATTTCCACATCTTTTGAAGAGTTAGGCAGAATTCCTCCTTTAATGACTGGAATAGGCCTGTCCTAGTGCAGAGGCACTGAAAGATCTCAATATGGATTCAATTATTTAGATTTCAAAGTGAAAGAAAGTAATAGGTTTGTTTTGGTGAGAATATACCATGGAGCCACATTTTCAGGCTTGCTGTCAGGTCTACAACTGTGGAAGTCAATAACAGGACATTCCTCTCAACCAAACCTTTGTTGTATCCTCATTTCCTCTCCTTGCCTGTCTTTTATTTTCATTTTTTAAAAAGTATTAAACCCCAGTTGCTCTCTCTAAGACTTTACTGCTACTCCTGCTTTGGAGAGCTATATTTTATCAAGCTTCTCTCTTGGTCTGCAAGCTGTAAGTGTCTCAAAGGTGGCACTGCCATGGCCACACAGCCAGAGGAGATTTTAGGAGTTGAGATATTCTTGAATCAAGATTTAGGAATTCTGGTGAAAAGTTGAAAGCTTTGTAAAAGATGGCAAAGGTGCACTGGAACCACTAGAGCGCAAGCTGAACATCTTGTTTGGGCTCTGCGCACTGCTGAGCAGATGTATTCATTAGCAAGATTTCTTCATGAAGAAGCCCAAAATACATTTGACCTGTAATTATTGAACAGATTTTGTTTAAGTGTAAATGTCCTACATACCAATCTGGTTGTTCTGGAACGTTTGTTTGTTTTCTATAGTATGGCCCAATTCCAGGCATCTTCATTCCTACACCTGCATTTTCACCTAAACATCATGGACCCTGTTTGGAGTTACCTCAAAGCATTCTTCAAAGGTGCTAGTTCAAAGTGCAGGCTTTGAACTGTGAACAACCTTGACTATAGGACAGCAAAAAGGTTTGAGTGCCTTCTGTTGGAAAACCTGTGCAAGAGTGTAGATAAAGCACTTCAGCTAAAGGGTACACAGGAGGTGGGGGGAAAGCCACCCTCCTGAGACACAGCTAGTCACAGAATGCAGGTTGCAGTAGCAAGAGACAGATTTTAATTATCTCACAGAAAGAAGACACCAGCCTTGGCAAATTCTCCTCACTGACTGCAAGCCAAACAAGTTTAATTCCCTACACTGTTCTATTCTGTGGCATTTTTCATCATTATGGAGTCAGAGCAATGTAAGAAGTATCTACTTTACAAAAGATGATGTTTCCTCCCTTAGCCTCTCCTCGGGGGTAAAAGCATGTGCAGGGCAGTATTTTATTTTTGTAGTCTTTTTGTTTGAGCTGGCTCTCTCCTTTTGGGTAATAAATATAAATGATTCTCTCACCTTACTCCCTCTAACATAAAAACAAAGATGTGTGCTCAGCGTTTGGAATGAGAACAGCTAGCAATGTGAACAGTTGCAGCTCTGCAGGAGGACAGAGGGCTGAGGACTGCCAATTCACTCCTTAAGCTCCTCAGTGTCTCTGATACCCCAAGGCAGAAGAATCCCACAGATTATCATATAGAGAGGTGAAATGTGATCACCCAGCCTCACCTCAGAAGATAGCACAGTACAGTTAACTAAGTATCCCATGCAAAATCCTGGTTTACTTTTATCCACAGCATTTTCTTCCATAGTAAGAACAATGAAATGGAATGTTTCCATACCCGTGTGTCTAGGTTATATGCCGTCTTCTTTAAATCCTGCAGAGCCCTCTGCATGAATTCAAATGCATGGCAGTCAACACAGGGACGACCTAGGAGAACATTTAGTAGAGTATTTAGTAGAGAATCATAAATATATGGCATCAAGTATTAAGTAGAAGGAATAAACAGAGCTTTTGAGTATGAAGAAGAGCTACAGGAAAGAGTCCTTAGGGTGTGCACTAGTGTATGTGTTCTTAAACAATCCAGGATATGGTAAATGGTGCATCATGGTGGTCACCCAGTCTCTCAATGACAAAACAATTACTTCAATAAATTTGCACTAAAGATTTTCTTCTTCCTTTATTGCTGCTCCCCTGATCGTTCTCTTGTCGCAGTTCATAGTGGAAACACTAAACCCATAACTGAGTCTTTCGTTTGGCTCCTCCAACCCTGAGCGCATTTTGAACCTCATCTTCAGATTGTTCAGAAATCACCTCTGAAAGCATGAGCCTGCTCTCTGGGAAATCTTATGTCCTGATCTCACAAACTTGAGCTCTAAATATAAAGCTAATGGAAGAAAATTGACTACAATATCACAAAGACAGATCACTTTGCCTCTAACTGAACACGATACAGCTCTGTCCAAAGCCAGTGAAGCAAGCAGCAGATAAACACAACACCCTGTCATTGCTGGGCATTGCTGATAAGCAGAACTGCTGCATTCTGGACTAATTGCAGTGTTTAAGATAATATTCCCATATCTAGATATCCAGACTGAAGGTCACAAGGCTTGCTCTGCCTTGATCATCATGTAACACAAAGTTGTGCCTTAACAGATAGCAGCACTGAGACAGAACAAATATAGACACGATGAAATGTCTTTGAATCATCAGGCTCTACATATGCTCTTATTTGCTTCTCAGTGCCTGTGCCTCTCTGACAACTTCCTAGGAAATATTGCACAAGTGAGAAATTCCAAGAGCAGGTTTAGTTTGCTCTCTGAGGTCTGGTAAAGGATGAAACCTAAAGTGATAGAAAATCCTGCAGGATCTGTCAGCCTATACTGCAAATACTGGATATTGGACTGATTACTACATGCCTCTGATAAGCTGGAGCATGAGCTTCCAGCTCATGAACTGTGTGCTAAGCAGCAGACAGGAATCCTGCCTGCTGGAGAAAAGGAGCCTGCCAAATTCTTTAACTGGCTTAGAAAAAACACAGATACGTACAAAACCAATACTGAGCAGCATTAAAGATCTCTCTCACTGTTGTACCATGACCCAACTTTGCTGCTATTATATTTGCACCAGACAAAAGGAGAGGACAGTATTTTCCACATCAACAACTTGATGCAAGGACCTGTCATTACACTTATGACATAAAAATAAACTCAACACAGATGAGCAAAGAATTAGGTGGCTGAAGGCTGCAAGATTAGGTGTTGACACATGTGCTTTTTTTGGCATCCTCTTTGTGAATGATTTTAATGAAAACTACTGACTTCAATACAGCAAATATTAGGAAGAATGAAAGATGTCATGAAGAGTCAGTGTCAGTGGAAAAATGCAAGTCTCAATAAGTGTCTCTGCAAATCAAACAGGGAGACTTCTGCCATAGAAAGGGCTAACACAATGAAAGGGTTGTACAAAGGAAAAGGTGGCCGATTTCAAGTACAAGGAAGACAGCAACAGGCAAGATAAAAGGGTAAGAGACTGGAGAGCATTGGATGCATGAATAAAACAGCCCTGGTATGACATCAAATTGTGGTTTTAAAACAACATAAGCAAGACATGTCCAAAATAGTCTGAATTATTTGGACAAGCTTCAGTGATGTGAAGTTCTGCAAAATTAAAACTACAGCACATGCTGTATGAGAGGACTGGAGGGTGGTACGTACTTTCAGCTGGTATGGCTGTTCCCGCTTCTTGATCACATCTAACAGGCTCCACAAGCAGCAGTGCAACCACAAAGACTAAAGGAATTGTAAGGACCACTCTTCTCAGAAGGGAGGGTGCCAGCATCTTGGGAATGGCTGCTTCTCAGTTTATAAAGAGATAAAAACAAGTTAGTGAGGAGAACATTACAAGTACAAGGGGTTTGTGACAGAGAACTTTATATTCTTGATGGTTAAAGCATTGGCACTCTTCCTTTGACAGAAAATTAATATCCCAAGATATACAGCATGGGCCAAAGTTTTCTGTACTTTTCCAGCAGTGAAAATAAACCCAACGGGGAGAGAATATCCCTAGACATGAAGGAAAACATCAGAAAACAGTTTTTGGTTTCATTTACAAGGCAGGATACCAGCAGTTTTGCCTGCTCTGTGACTCCAATTCTTTTTTTATCTATCTACACAGTCCCAAACTAGTGCATGAATCTGGACAGCTGGCTCGCTGTTAGACTTCGAGACCAAAGCTGCATTATAGAGCAAGAGGAAACACCCCTGAACCTGGAAATGAGGGTTTTACCCTCTGGTTTGCTTTGCTGGTGCACCATATTTTCCCAAGTAACCATTATCATTAACTACACATCACACTGATGATAAAACCTTATTCCTTTACTAAAGTAGCTGGAGGAAAAGACTTTCATTAAATCTCCACAAATTCATAGATAAAAACTTCTAATGGTAAATGCATGAAAACTTTTTCACCTTCTGTTTCCCCTCCTAATCTGGCCTTCAGAACTTAATTTACAGCCATCCATTTGCTGCTGAACATCACAGCCAGGCCATACCATGCCCTGAAGCCTGGTCCAGCAACAACTCCCCTTCACACAGAGGCAGAATTCTTTCTAAGAGCACAGGTTTCAAATGAGGTATGTTCTTGATCCAACAGGTAAACTGATCGGATCAAAAGGGAACACAGGAAACTTGGACTGGCTCAAGCTGCAACTGCCTGTTAGAGACTTCAATCCAAGCCTCAAGGATCCTGGCACACTGCTAGGATAGTCCTTAGTTCAGCCAAGTTTACCTTCCGTTCCTCTATGTTCAAATGGAAGAAAGAAAGAATCAAATAAGGTTAAGCTGCAGCAACACAATAAAATCCACCTGAAAAATCTCTTCACCTAAACTCTGGAAAGCAGGACAACGTTCTGTCTCTTTCTTGGTTTTAATGGTGCATACTAAGCAAAAGATGTTGCAGAAGAACATCAAATATGCACGTACTGAATGCAAGAGTACAGCACTCCCCCAAACAGCTTGTATTTCACGTTTGGAGGGGCAGTATATATGCAATCCACTGTTTCAGACACAGCTAATCTGAAGTTGCAAATTCTGCATGAACACTTGCACCACGTGCAAACCAGCAATCCATCCAGTAAAGGAGCAGCATTATACACATCCCTTTCCTGTGCACCTCGACCAAAACATAAGTGTAGGGGATGATTCAGAAGTCAGAGACACACAGGCACACGTAGAGTCACAGACATATTTGGGCCCACACTAAAATAAAGATCTAGTAATGTTATTCCTATGACCTCAGAACTGGGTTTCCTATCCCTCACGCTATTTACAAGTGATTGGATAGGATCCTTTTCTTTATTCCTACAATACTTAAAACAAAGGGATTACAATTATAATAAGCATCTTGGGTTTTCTATTTCACGAATGGTGATCTGCAATCAAAGCAAGTACAATAAAAGACACCAGGCTTTGCAACAGGATGCAACAGAGTGTCTCAAAGTCACAGTAAATTAGGATAACATCAGCCTCCTTTGAAGGTCCCTAATGCAGAAGCCTCCTGTCAGTAGGGTCAGAGGTTATTCTCATAGTTGACTGAGAGCCTACAAAGGTTCAACAAACAAAGCAGATACCTTGCTGAACTTGTTCAGGGTACCTTTCACATCACCCACCCCATATTCAGCTCAGCTTCGGATGTGAGTCCCACTGCAGAACAGCTGCTCCCCTAACTACTGCCTCTTAGTTATTCCATGGGGATTTGCTATCTGTGAGGAAGAATCCTGACAGGCTTCAAGGACAGTTTTTCCCTGCTGTGCAAGTGGGAGACAGGTCTGTGCATGGGCTTCTGTGAAAGAGAAAAGTCACCCCCTGTAACAAAGGAAGAAAATATCAGTACCTGATCTCTCTCTCGTCTTTGTGATGGTCTCTTTGAAATGGCCGCTGCAAACTGCTAGCAGAACAAGTGCAGCATTTCTGAGCATGTGCACTGTCTCTTTTTAACCTTCTCTGAAAGAGGTTATTACTATGGGGAGATTTCTGCCATGGCAACAATGCAGAGCACTGCAGCACACAGCACAGATTTAAAGAGGAACAGACTGTGTCTTCCAGGTCTGGAGAAGGATGTTTCTGCCTTGACATGTGAGTTCCTGCAGGGACTTACCTGCTCCGGGTAAGGTTTTTAAAGCCAGGCCATTTGATTCACCTCTCCTGAATGGCTTTCCCGACGTCTGCTCAGCTGGATGCCTGATGCAAGCAACTTGCTTCCCTAGTGCCTGAAACTAACCATGACAAATTACACCTGCCTTATGGGAAACCAGGGAAAACCACAGGATCGCCCTCAGGAACTGCAGGACACGTCACAGGTGAGGCTTTGGCAAAGGGCAAGAACTGTTCAGTGCACAGTCTGACATTGAATGGTTTGAGTTACAGGGGTCATAACGACCCATGCTTGCTCTCCTGGGTGTTCCTGTGATCCCAGTCTCAGGGCTGCCAAAGAAGGAGTGCAGACACTTAAACTCTGAGTGGGAACTTGAGTCCCAGCTCAGAGTAAACTTCACCCCCTTTTCCAGCCTGCACCTCTGCTCCCCTTTCAATGCCCCTACAAACTATACTCCAGAACAGCACTGGTGGCATTTACGCTGAATCACAGAATGGTTTGGGTTGGAAAGGACCTTAAGATCATCCAGTTCTAACCCCCTGCCATGAGCAGGGATGTCTCACCCTAGACCATGTCACCCAAGGCTCTGTCCAACCTGACCTTCAACACTGTCAGGGATGGAGCATTTACCACTTCTTTGGGCAACCCATTCCAGTGCCTCACCAGCCACACAATAAAGAACTTCTTCCTTATATCTAACCTGAACTTCCCCGGTTTTAGTTTGAACCCATTACTCCTTGTCCAATACAATAATGGGGTGCAGATGATAAAAGTGCTTTTCTCGAATCAAAGCCAAGCTCAGAGGTTGCATCACCCCCAAAAACACACTCCCCATCATGAGTTACACACTACCACTTCTTGATCCAGAGGAAGTACAGCTGAGGGCAGTGGTAGCACTGAGGACTGTGCTGTTTGCTTTAGCTGGCTCAATAGGGACTCAATTTTAAACGTTTTCACGGTGAAAGCTGAGGATAGGCAGTGTTCAGGAAGGTCAGGCACAAAACCTTCTTACTCTTCCATGAGCAGAAACTCCTCATGACTAAATTGCTAATATTTTTCTTCTCCACATGCTCTATAACGTGTGTCTCCCATGCAGCCCTAGGGGAATTGTTTGTTCCCATTAATTCAACTTTTTAAGAAAGATGCTAAAGTTTCAGGTTGTGTAACTGTGCTGCTGTATGAAGTTACAGCATCCACAAGCAGAGTCAGGAGGGGATTAGTTATAGTCCTGCCACCCTTGTACATCACAAAAACAGAAAGAAGGGGGAAATCATTTTTAGAGACTGTTCTTTTGGGCAAACAAGATTTATCATTGCTCCTGCAGAGCTAAACATACAGGCTTTGAGCTGATTCAGTATCTGCCTGTACACAAGTGACAAATACAGAACTTTATTCATGATCATTCTCAGCTGTCTATTCTTACACCTGGGTCTCTCTTTCTGATAAATAATAGCTATTCACATACATATATATTTACCTATATGTATATGCCTTTTCTTAACCTGTGCTCTTGGTCATTCCCAGTAAATCTTACCCTGTTCTCCTGAACCCTGTCCTTTTTTTTTATCACAACAGTAACACAATTAGCCAGTCCCAGTATCTTGGATGTTATCACTGATTCATTCTTCTAGACTCATGCAATGGGCTTCTGACTCCATTAAATAAAACTCTAAAAATCTATTTCTGCCATTCCCAGCTGCCAAATTCCTTGTTTTAAGCAGCAGAACATCACACCAGCTACTGTGATGTTCCTTCTTCAGCCTTGTCCTAAATCTACTTGTCCTGCAAGTAACAAAGTCCCTTTTAGTGTTTTAACCGTATTTCCACTTTATTCACTTCTCCCCACTCTGTGCTGTGTTAAGCAGTGATCAGAATAAACAGAGATCAGAATGTTATAACATGATAAGTACCAAATTAAAACTCATAACATTGTCAGAATTAGATCAATGTTAATAACAAGTAGTAAAAAAAAAAAAAAAAAAAATCACAATTCTATATGCATATGTGCTCTTAAGCACTCCTATTGTGCAGAATGAACTATCAATTACTCTAAGGTAAGAATACATGTAAAAGCAAGCAACCACAATGAAAGCAAAGACCTTGAAAGAAAAGGAAAGAGATAATATCAGCTTTTCTCTTCACTGAAGCTAACGTTTTCTCTCTGGAGATCTCCCACAGAGGAGGCAGAGCTTCCGTATCAGGGCATTTTTATTTAAAAAATGTTATGAAAAGATTATTTTGACAATTTTCAAATTGATAATTTCTGGTTTTCTGCTTCAAAATGGTCTCATTTTAAACTAAGCTTAACGGAGTGAAAATAAATTTCACGCTCTGATCATGGAGTGGGAGAAGCTCTTACATTAAGGGTACTGGGGCACATCCCCACCAGAATATTACAACTCAAATAAAATCTTTCCTTCTCCCTTACTCCTCTTCACCAAGCATGGGTGGTACAGACGCTAACCCAAGGGCACCCCAAAACTGGAAGTACAGACCAGAACTGGGACTACACAGCAGCTGCACAACAGCCCTCAAAGGCGATGCCACTGGTGTGCCCAAGTGACATCTGGGTGAAGGCTGGAAAGTCCTGACTCCCCAGTTGCCCTGGGGAATCATTCACAAGGTAAGCAGATAGAATTTATAGCTTCTTTCTATAATGCAGTCAAACACGGTGGGTTATTATTCTCTCCAAGATCCCTGCCAGCTAAAAAGCATCAAAGCATCATTTCTGAGATTTCAATATTTCCTCTTGATAGCACATGTTTTGATACTATAAATATTTTTGTGGGATTGGGAGAAAAGCTCAAGCCTTTACCTCTAAGCCTCTTCACTACTTGGTCTCCCCTCGTCTCTTACATCTAATACTCTGTCACAGCAGAAAACTTGTTTCCCTCACTAAAGATAACAGATTCTGTCACTTCTCCTGCAAACACTTTCATGCTTCCTCACAGCCTGCTCTCTAAATCATGGTAAAAACCTCCCCACAAGGAACTGTCTTGTCTTCCATCAAATCCTCTTCTATGCTTTACCTCTGCCATGAATCCTACAAAGCCCTGCTGCCTGGCAGAGCCTGGGAGGAACCTGGCAGGGACTGCTCCTGGCATGCAAATGGGCTCCTTATACCAATATGTCACTGCCTCACACCTCTCACTGAGTCTGCCCCTTGTCATCCCATCATAACCCCAGGCTGCCATAGCTGGAGGGCAGGGGATGTGTTTGCACTTGTTGGCACAGCACCACAAGGCTGGAGTGTTGATTGAAGCCTTTGGGCAGATGTGATGAATAATGTCTAACTACCTAAAGCCGGTCACATTGACGCACATTGATGTATGAGCTATTCATACAGCAAGCCTCTTATTCTTTTCCTTCCAATTGTAAGCTCTTGGGAAGTGTCAGAATGACCAGATTAAGAAATGAAGCCTTCCTTTGTCCCCTGAACAGGTCTCGCATACCTTGGTAGCAGCAAATAACTGCAATTGCTCCTCCTTCCATTTTCCTCACCATCAATTTTAGGGCTAATTTCCTTGTCAGTAACTTTGATTTTCTGCAGTCGAAAGATGGCTCATCTGAGATCATTCTAGGCCCTAAAAGTCTTAAGTTTCAGTGCAACACCGAGGCTGGGCTCACATCCAAGTCTGATTTTTTTCCCCACAGCTCTTAGGGAGACCTGCCCTGTCAGAACTACTTACTGCTTTTTGGATGAGATGCTAAACTGAAGTCAAACCTTTCAGCATCTCTCTGGGAGTGGAAAAGCATTTAAAAATCCCATGGCAATATTCAGGAAGGGTTAGCATTAGCTGAGCTATCCTTAGCTTGCACTGTCCCTATCCACCCTCCTGCACACACATCTTTAGGGAAATAATCTGTGTTCCAAGCTGTGCCTGAGCTATTTCTAGGTATGTAACAGTTGCAATTTTAACCAGTTTGCTAAATCCACAGGGATGTCTTGAGTACTTTGCAGCAACTATAAAAATATGCACACATATGAATAGCCTTTGAACTGGAGGGGAGTAACACCGCTATCCTTCAAAGCTTCCCGTCCTAGCATGAGACTTAGAAATCCAGGAGTCTCTTCCAACATGGGCTGCCTAGAAAAGTAAAGAGAAGATTTCTTAGCTGAGAAGCTGTGCTCTCTTAGCCAGTTTCCTTGCAAAAGCTGCTACGAAAAATAGCAACAGAGGAAACTAAAGGAAATGAGATTGCTAAAATTGGAAGCTTATCAATGTCCCTTTTCCCTCCACAAGGTGTTTACTATCCCATGTCTACATAAGGACACCCAGTCAAGGGGCTTCAGATCTAGGAATCAACTCCTTTGCAACTAGAAGACTGATCCAGGATGACTTTTATGACACCAATACTTGGATCTAATTGATAATCAACAGCTCTGACATTGAGAGCTCTATGATTTAATGGCTTAAAGATGGATGTAACCTTTATGTTTGAAAACAGCATCTTTAACCTGAGTTCCTGTTTGCAAGATATTTGCAGGCTGACAGATATGGCTTCTCCTTTTTACATGTTTATTCTTCTTTCTCTAATGTAGTGCTATGAATTGCAAGGTGGTTACTGCAGTACTATCCTGATGTTGCACTGTGAATGAAGTTTCCAGCTTAGAGTTTACCCAAGTCTGCCTTCAAAATGCCTTCTGAATGAATTCCTTACCTGTGATCCAGGGATGTTTTTAGGCAGTGGCCAGTGACAAATGAGCAATTAATATTCCTTAAGTATAATTATAGTGGTCACAATCTTGGGTTTTCCAGCATCTCAGCCAAGAGGGCTCCTTCATCCTGTTGGAGCGCGTCCAGAGGAGGGCCATGAAGATGCTCAGAGGGCTGGAGCACCTCTCCTATGAAGGCAGGCTGACAGAGCTGGGACCATTCAGACTGGAAAAAGGCCCAAGGGGGACCTTATTGCAGCCTTCCAATACTTAAAGGGGGCCTGCAAGAAAGATTTTGACAGACTTTTTAGCAGGGCCTATTGTGCTTGGACAAGGGGTACACAGGGTAAATTTAGCTTAGATATAAAGAAGAAATTTTTTTCAGTAAGGGTGCTGAAGCTCTGGAACAGGTTGCCCAGAGAGGTGGCAGATGCCCCATCCCTGGAAACATTCAAAGCCAGATTGGATGGGCCTCTGAGCAACTTGATCTAGTTGAAGATGCCCCTGCTCATTGCAGGGGGCTTGGAATTAGATGACCTTTGAAGGTCCCTTCCAATCTAAACTCTTGTATGATTCTGTGAACTACAAATTGTTGCTCAAGGGATGCAGACATCAGGGACATCATGAAGAACGTGATGCCATTACACAACGTTATTGTATAGGGTACTCCCTAGACATGTCCCATTACCACAACTTACTGCTTTTAGTAACCTCAGCAAATCAGGTACGCAGAACTGCCAGGAAGCCATAAACGCATCTGATAGGTGAATTTGCCTGCCAAAACTCAGCACTGCCTGTATGGGAATTGGACAGGTACTTACACAATTTTAATATCCTGAAATAGTGCTTATGCTTAAAAGCAGGAGCAGGTTATTTACAGTGCGGCCAAGTTTTCAAGGTGAGGAGGAAGAGATGTCATAGAAGGTATTGTACTGGGTGCTTAGAGAATGTGCACAGGATCTGTCTTTCAGCTCACCTCCTCCCTTTCTTATTTTGCCTCTGCTCCTTTCATATACTCCTCTTTCCTCTTCTACAACTTCTGCTGTAATTATTCATTCTCTCCACCTCTGTCTCTTAGTTCTTTGTCCCCCACTGCTCACCCTTTGTTCTCTCAGCCTTTGATGTTCTCCTGCAATTCAATGCTCAGCTGCAATGTGTGAACACTGGCCCTGGTTTGGGCCCTCAGCTATCTTGAGAGTAAGTTTAGCAACCTTCCAAGGAAATAGTTGCTTGTGCACCTCTGCACCACCTTATCCCTCTGCCAAAATGCTATTGTTCTCTAGAAAGATGGCTGGGGCAAACATATTGGCTTCCCATCTCCTTCTAGCTGATAGTCTGGCATACAATGCCAGAACGGATCATAGAGTGCTCTGTAAAGGGCAACATGGAGTGTGACTGAAGGACTGCATGCTTGTTACATCAGCTCAGCTGGCTTTCTGATCCTAACACAGCCAGCTCCAAGCAGCACAGACTGAGAACAAAGATGTAGATGAATGTAAACCAGAGAGACACTCGTGAGAACTTCAAACATGCATGGATGTGTCTCAGAATACTGCAGAGACACTCAGTGGCAGAGGCTCCCTGAGTTCAGTCAGTAAATCAGTATGGGCACTGGGACTGTGCTGAATCACTGTGCATCAGCTCTTTGGGGACAGTAAGACAGGCAGGGGAGGGCTGGGAGAAAAACCTGCCCAATCCAGCTCTCCATAAATTAACAGCTGGCTGCAAGTGGAACCATCAGGAATTAGCAGGGTGCCATAGGAGTGCTGAAAAGACCCTCACTAAGAGGTTTCGACCTTCTCCATACAGACCCATTTGGCCTTGGACTTTCTGCTTATTTTTAGGGATATAAAGACAAAGCAGTAACCACCTGGCTATTCTGCTTCATTGCCTCTGGATGAGAAATCTGCCACAGGGAGGACTGCCCTGTCCCTAGGAACGTGGGCAGCCCACAGTATGGTCCTGCATTAAATGCTATGCTTGAATATGTGATAATGCACAAACTCCTTCTTATCTCTGTATCTAAAAAAAAAAGAACAAGGCAGAGCTCTCAATTGCATAAGTACTTTTCTTTTGGCAAGGAAGCTTCTCTGGGCAAGCATCCTGCATTTTTATCCTAGAGAGCAGCATCCTCTCCTCAGAAAGCAGGTATCTTTAACTTAGTTTCCCACTACATTCTGGAAATTCCATCAGGAGGGAGAAAAAAGTGATTATGTGAATGTTAAAAGATTCAGTTGCTCAAAGCATAAATTCCTGTACTCTCTATGCTAACGGTGTACTTGTGATATGCTGATTTTGCTAACATGAGCAGCCACCTTTCAAGAGTTACTCTCTAATCTAATATGACCCTGAATCACTGTGGGGCAAGGGGTTCACATCTAGGGCATGTGGTTGTTATATGGGAAAATCTTTAAATAAGCAATTCGAAATAAGTACTCTTCAAGATTAAAAAAATCCCATTCCTGTGGATTTAGGTCAACTTCACAATATAGTTGAGGCAAAGAAAGGTTTTCAAGTAACATTAGATGAATTATCCTTTGACAAACAGGTTCCAGGGCTCTCTACAGTGTTTGAAAAGGCATGCATTATACATGTCAGATAGTCGTGGCTACAGCATGCTGGCTTGTTAAAGCTGAATTAAACTTTTACTGTGATCCTCACTTAAACCTCTCCTATTGCTATTTTTTTCATACACTGTCCTAGAATAGAAGTTAATTTAGGGAAAATACTTTACACAGAATTGATGCACTGGTGTGAGAACAAAACAAGCCTACCATTCCTCATTGGCTCCAGTGGGGTTTTTGTGCCCAAAACGCTCCCATTTGGCTCAGCTGTTTTTGCATTTAAACTTGAATGGGTTTGAGTCAAAACCAAAGCACGTCTGTTCAGCAATTTTAAAGCTGAAAAACATTTTGAAAAACATTTTTCCCTTGATGTGCACAATTTGACTCACTGCGCTGTTGTACTGACGTTACTGGAGGGGCTTCATGCATGATTTAGAAGACAGGTCAGCAACACAAGACACCCAAGATGGTGAGTGGGCACACAGCATGCCATCGGGCTGGTGCAGGGCCAGGAGCTTCTTTAGGGGGGCATTTCTGAGAGGCAGTAGCTGTCAACTCCCAGTTCAAATTGAGTTCTGAGCTCAGCAACAGAGGCAAACCACCTCCCATTAGCTAACCAGCTGCAGAACCGTGTTTCCTTGAGAGGCAGAATTGCCTGGTTCCAGCCAGAAATACATACGCTCTTTTTGAGGAGAGAAAAATGAAGCACTTCCAGATCAGAAGTGTAGCCCTCTTTAACCTGAACACCAGGAGTGTCTCTCCTTATTAGTATCACTTAGACCTGCAAAGCTGCTTTTCTGCACTAGGCTTGCTGAAAAAGAAATAAAGAAAAGCATACGCATATTCTGAAATCTAAATCTCTGAAAGAGAGGAAAATATCTGCTGGTTTACTATCAATTGTTTTATTAGTCAGACTGTTTCTACTTAATCAATTGTTTTATATACTGGAGAAAGTGTCAGATGGATTTGTTTTTAAAGGCTGTAATTAAGCACAGTCAGGAGTCATTAGATTATTCACAAAGCCTGCTGTTCCCCATTAACTAATAGCAACTACCAAAACAAGGGAGGGAGGTGGTATGGACTAGGCCCAGCTCCAAGTGTAAAAGTATTTTAAAGGGCAAAGGTACACACTATACTTAGAGATCATATCTTCATGCTATAGAATACTGTACCTACCAATTAATTCCTTCCAAGCTCGAGTTGAAAATTGCCTCCATCTGAAAACTGAAGTTAACAGAGGATTAAACTGTCATTGTTTGGATTAAAAAAATGGGCTTTGAAGATTGATTATGCCATGAATCACCTTTTATCTTGGGATCAGCCATTTAGATCTGATGCAGGTTCTGCTTTTTTGCTAGCACTTTTTATCTAGGTGGAAAAGAAAATGGATGTTGTGGTATGGGATGTTTCTGGGTTTTCTATCTACTAACCTGTATTAAACTGCAAATGTCACTGGAGGAAAGGAGAAGAGTATAAAGGTAGCAGAAAAGGAAACTCACCAGAATAAACATGGTCTTAAGACGCCATCTTGATCTGAGACAAAAAAATGTTAAAGAAATACCTTTGTTGCACCGGCAATAAAAAAAAAGCCACGAGAAAATGTTTGGCCACTGTTCATGTCACACCATATTATGCTGGCATTTCCATTTGACGCGCAGACTTGTCAGTTTTGGCGTAGCTGTGAACTGCAGATGCTTTTAAAATGAGGGATAGAGGAAAATAGGTTCTTATTCAAAATAGAACCTGTGCTGAATGTCTATTCCAGGTCTAAAAAGGTCTGAGAGTTGCTAGCCATACAGACAATTTCCCAGCTGCACTAACACCAAAGGAGGGAGAGAACATACTGAGGTGTTCTCTGTCCTTTCTCTTTCAAGCTGGTTTTCAAATCTCAGAACAGAAATATTTCCTCTCTTTCTAGCGACCAGCTGTTCAGCAAGAGGTGGGAAACGGAGGCAGCAACAGAGAAGCAGAACAGAAATCTGCTCGTATTGGCATGGCTGAACTTATTAACTCATCCCTTGGCAGACAGCGTGTAAAACACAAGACAATTCACAGAGGATTTTCCCACCTGTGTATTTGTGAGTACATAAAAGAAAATGAGTTATAATCCCTTTTTGCTGCCTCTCCAATGCTAGATATTAAACCAAGTGTGACTGGTGAGGGGCAACCTTCATCCTGAGTAACAGACTTGCAGTGGTTAGGGTTCATCATGTGTGCCACCTTTTACTGGTTATCCCCTCTTTCATGAGTCAGTGTGGACATTGTGGAAAGGGAACTGAACTGAGGACAGATTACATAGGATGGCAAGCTGCAGGCACTGACAGGCCAGCAGCAGCCACTCACACAATAGAGAGCAAAAGACATACTGCACAGCAAACCACCCACCCAGTGCTGTGCTGCTGAGGAGCATCTCAATACAACCACATCATCAGAATCCTCCAGCCTCCCTCAAAGGTATGTCTACTGATGACAGCCCCAGACTAAAGCCTGGAAATCCTTCACCATGTGTGTTTTTACTTTGCTTCATTTTAGTGCTTTGCATTCATGTGTGGGGCTAACATCCCATAAGATTTTCATATAAGCATTGTTCCTCTTCTACTCTTATGAAGGAGAATGTGATGCATGGGGAGCTTTTATTAGTGATGCTTCTGTGTCAGAGACAGCAGGCCAAAACCTTGCTCTTCCTTTTGGAGGGATGAGTAATAAATTAAGATGATCCTTGATATCTAGAAGAGTTGTGTCTTCACTTTGTGAGCTACTCCCCCAAAATGCATCTCCACTGGCAGTTATGACAGACAAAGGATGCTCTCAGACACCTAAGTGACCTTCCCTGCAATTGTGTCTTGCTTGGCAGCATCAGCTTCCACATCATTCTTAATCCTCCATCCATCACTGTCTGTAAATTGTCTTCCTCCTTTAAGTCTGATCTCTAGTTATGGACAGCAAAGACAGGAGGTATAGTGCCATGTGGGATTGCTGCTCTCCACTAGCCATACTTGTGAACTGCAGCATGCATATCAGCTAAGTATATCATGATTTCAGAAGTGTTTATGGACTCAAACTGGATGGCTGCTGAGGCTTGTACTTGGGGCATTTCTTCGTATGCATCTGCTGAGTTGGGGTTTGAAAGGGACTCTAAACTTTTCTGGAATTATCATACATATTCTTACCCTTTCTGTGTATCTATTCTCCAGCTGGCAAACGAGGCTGAGAAGCTGTCAACTCTCTCAAGTTGAAAGGCTTTATTTGCCCTTGTGGTAAAAAGCTTCATAGTGCCTTGGGGCAGTACTGTTAAGTGCAGCCAAGATCCCAGAGCAATGTTTACAGTTCCCAGGCCATGGAGCAGCTCGGAACTCATGACTGAGACCCTGAGTATGAGTATGGGAAGCCAGTGTAGGAAGCAGAAATCAGTTTGATATGCATGTGGGTGTTTTGAGTTGTTAAGGACACACACTCCAGTGTTCTGTAGCAGTTGTGTTTCCTGAGGACTTGTGGCATTGTGACAAGCATACAGTACCCCTACAGATCTGAGAGCCTGTTTCAGAATGCTTTCCTCTACCTTCAGATCTCTTTACCAGCCAACACGGGAAATATCTCTGGGTACCTTTCCAGAAGCCTTTGAACTGATGCACTCCTGCAGCAAAACTCAAATGATACCTCATGTCCTTTTCACCTTGGTATTTGCACTGCATAAAGTATGTGCCCTACCTTTGGATGCCCAATGGCTTATTGTCTATTTACCAAAGCAGGAAGTACCTAAGAAGGAACAAAACTCAGTTAAGTCTGAGAGATCAATAGTATCTCACAAATACTACTCGCTCAGGCTTCTTAACAACAATTACTGATAATATAACCGTTAAGCTCTCCAGGTAGGTTTCCCTTCTGAAGTTACACCAGGGAGCTGAGATGTAACATTTCTTCACATTTCCAAAAGTCAATCAGGCTGCCATTGAAACAACAGAATAAAACCACCAGCCCTTGTTCTATTCCTGTTCCTATTTAAAGGTGATAAACAGTTGATTTTACATAAGATCTCATCAGCATTCCTTAGTCAGCATGATTGTTCTGGACTTCCTGGCAAACTGAGCAAGTAAGGTTATTTAGGAGGATGGATGGAAAGAGAAAGTAGACAACATGCTGCCACCTTTTGGTTACAGAAATGAGAACAGGTGTTATCTGAACAGAACCATCCAGTGGAAACTAAGACATTTACACTTGTCTTCTGTAGTAGAATAACCTGGAAGTCCATATAATGTGAGATGCATCCCCTCATGTTCTAAATGGTTGCTATGAGCTTGGCTCACCTATTTCACATTTGTTCAGTCTTGTTTGGGCTAATTAATTATTATCAATCAATAATTAATAATTCTCTTATGATAATTAATAAATTTCTCATTTAAAACATAGAGGGTTGTGTTCACTCACCTAGAACTAATGCTTTGCATCACTAAACTGATCTGAGGAACATAGCTGCAGAAATAGAAGATACAAGATCTCATTAATTTAGTAGCTTGTAATTTACTCCCTGTCATAACTCCTGTTGGTCTGATCATGTGCACACACATAGTGAAGTTAATGACACTTTCATTATTAGGTTTGTTATCAGTATGGTCAGTACATTAAAACTTTTATCCTTAACTGTCTGAGAGAGATTTTCTGTGCTGGCTGACTGCCAAGGACCTGAAGGGTATTTTGTTTGCTTGTTTATTAAAACATGGGTTCAGCTGTCAGTGAGAATGAAACATTGACGAATGCTCATCTTCATAAAAGAAACACAAGACTGTTCTGGTAAAAAGTGTGATGCAGAGCCTCAAAATCTAACAGAGGAGCTGTCTGCATCTGGGATGTGTTTCTCACTGCTCCTATGAGTCACTGCACAAATTTGGGCCAAGCAACAAGCCTCTGAAAATCTCAGTGCAAATATGTTCTGTAAACACTTCTGGGAGCTGGAGAGCTCAAGTCCATGAATGTTCTGTCACTCTCAGCTCCTGTGTGCCAGAGGCTCTTCACATTTACTGCACCCACAGATTCAGTGAGTGTGCTCCACCCTAGGGCACAAAAATCCATCAAACACTTGATCTTCTGTTTCTCAGTGCTGGCACTGAGTTCTCAATCTCTCCTCTTGGCATGGGTAATGTGAAGGGTGATCCTGTCTGACTGAAATGCAGGAAGGACAGAAATTCTTCCAACCACTGAAGCAGTGCTGGTAGGCCTGTAATGCCCTATACCAGTGACACACTGGTCCTTGAGAACCTGAAGCCCCTGATGGTCTGCAAGACTGAGCTCTGGGACTACTTTCTAGGGTGCTGAGGGTCCCTCAGGAGCACCAAGACAGTATCCTAAGGGTTTCCAGTCATGAGATCATCTTACAGGACACGGCTCATGCAACCCGTGCTTCTGTATACTAGTGCACGTCCCACCTGGAACAGCCCCAGCCACCCAACCATGAGCAAAGCTGTTGCAGCAGACCTGAACCAGGCCCTTATTGCCACAGCACGCTGTTGTTACACTCCACACATGGGTGCTTATGCAAAATGTCCCTGTTTCAGGATAGACTTGCAGACCTTTAATATATTAATGGTGCCACCTACACTGCTGCACCGTGCTCCAAAAACTGGGAGTTAGAGAGCACACTTGCATCTCGAAGAGTTCCAAAAGTATCTAAAGGACCACAGACATGAGAAAACCACTAGGAACTATCTTGTTTATGCACTGAGCACTCGCTGACAGTGCCAGCAGAGACACTTAGCACCTTCACAGACACTGTCATACATACATACAGCTTTGTCACCCATGAGGAAAAGGAAGAGAGGAACTGATTTTATCGTGGTCTTTTTAAGGAGGGAAGTGTTACACTGATTATGGTGCAGTGCACTTCTTAACCTTTCAGGGTGGAGGGCATCCTGTTGTCTTTCACAGGTGAGGATCACACTACCAGCAGTCCAGGTCAGTGGTGGGAAACAGCAAGACATCCTTCCAGAGGTAAATCAGGCTTCCTTTTCCTACCAGTAAATTCCCCTAAGCCTCTTTGCAACCAGAATACCTTCTCTCCATCTCAGGACTCTTCTTCCACACACCTCACGAACTGTTTTAGGATTTTATCCATTTAACCTACCCACTCAGCACCAGCACAGACATACAGCTGTCCAAAGCAGTCACTGGAGCCACATCAGGTTAGAGAGGCAGGGAAATACCTGGATCACGAGGCCTCTCAGGGATGAGTTTGTCATTCTCTTCCATCATTTTTAAGGAAGCATATCCAGCTTGTTGGTATAAGAGCTGTATATAGCTGCTCAGTGCACAGAATGGACCACGGCATGGAGATGAGTCAGGATTGTGCAATGAATCAGATCTTGCCCAGACGATCCTGGCTCTTTTGTTGCAGAAAGTGAATGCAATGACTGAAGGAAGAAAAGAAATAAGTGGCTGCTGGCATTTGTATGCTGCTCAGAAGGACTGGATTCTATTTTTGTCTTTTGCACAGACTATTAGTCACTTAAAAACCCATTTTTCAGGGGTGGCCATTAACTAAGTGCAGCGTTTTGCTGAAAACCTAAATTCTAACCTCGTGTTTTTAAGGCTAAAAATGTAGCTGCAATGTAAAGTAATGAGCTGTAATGTTACCACTCCATACTTTATGAGGATGTTAGTAAATACATTGAATGCTGTTTGTGAAACTCACAGTTCCTACACTGAAAAGTCCATAACAAAATCACTAAGTCTGTGTTTGGAGCAGGATTTGAACAATAAACAGTAAGGCACAGAGTCCCACATCAAGCATCGAAATACTGAATAGCTTCTCATTAAGTGACTGCCATCCTTTCTGTGCACTAAATAGGCTCACGTCATTAATGACAACCTTGCAATCAAATGCAAGGGGAGGCAAATAAAAGTTCTGCAAACAACACGAATTCTGGCATTTTCTAACTTCAGAATGCTTGACTTTGCAGCCTTTAAAGCCTTTATGTGATTTTTGTGTGGAAAGATACATTATGTAAAACAAAGCATTAAGTACCATAAAAGGAATCCCTGTAGCTTAGAAGTGCATTAAGACTGACATTTTTGAGACTTTACCCTGATTATTGTGGATTAGCTTAAACCTATATACTTACCAGAGCAGATTATTAGAATTGTTAAAAGGTCCATAGCATTTTGAAGTAGTTGAACTAAGCTACTGTCAAACAGTATGGAGGCAGTGCAACTCTGTATAAACAGACTTACTAATATGAAAGACATTTCAAGTGTAAATTAATGTATTTTGCTATTTTAGCTAATTATTCCCTTTAGAAAACTACACTGATGAAATTATGAGTATAGCTAACATATTTGAGCATCTGTGTCCCATGCTTCAGTGCCTAAAGTTGGCACACTTGCCCTGGGTCTGTGGCACTGCAGTAAGTTGGTCTTACAGCTCCTTCTCTGTATTCATAAGGATACACGCTGTTTGAGCTGTCAGTAATAGATCCCGCCTCTTAAATTCAAGCTGTAGGAGGTAAAACACAATCCTAGTACATCAGCCAAGAGTATAGGATCACCCTTGTAAATTAGTTACTAGAACACCAAGGATTTTCATGTTTATGGTTTTACACAGAAAACCTCTTTCTATATCCACATTCATCTGTCCCTGCACTTCACAGAGCTGCCAGAAATATGCTTTCCCAATACCTTTAACTGAATTTACACAAACACACAACAATCCTGTAATCTCTGAATGTGTGACTGATTTGCCTTCCTCTGGGCTTCCTCCCTGGATTCCTACAAGCTCTTCTGAAAGGCTGATTCTGAATTCAGTTTTGGAAAGGTTTGTATGTGAACCATCAGGATCTCTAGCATTTAATCTGTGAACATTCTAACAGTCAGAAAAACAAACAGCAAATGTCAATAAAACAAATAAATCCACCATTGTTTTCATGCTCATCACCACCCCATGCTTGGCTGGGATCAATTTTCCCTTTGCTTGCTCATTCCCTGCCATGTTGTCGAACATGCAAAGAACTGGTTTATCCCCACCCCACCAGCATCAGCTTTTTGCCATGTTATTCCCCCAGTTACTGTGCAAAGCTTAGGTGTAGCCTGTAGGTTAGGACTGTGCTCTTTCTGTTTCAGTTTCAAGGCTTGCATGTGAAGTGGAAGGAGAAGGATTAAACAGAGCCCTTTACAAGGTATCTAGCAGCTGTGCATTTGGCAGTTTGCAAAGATGTGGGGTACCTCATTCAGTGGTAGAGTTATTTTCCTTGTTATGTATCACTTGATATGTAATTCAGATCCAATCACACTCCCACATGTCAGTGTACAATCTATTCCATTTAGTCACAGTAAATTACACATTCATCATTATCCTATGAAACAGCATAGTACCAGTGAGTCAATTATACCTGACAGTCAGATTGCTCTGTGTTCAGTGTCTTCCTATTATGCCTGAGCTTCTTGCCATTAAATTCAGTGACGGTCTCCTGTTGATTTAAAACCAGTAGGATTTGAAGAGATTTTAAGAAATAATGTGAAAATTGCTATCATTAACTTTTCCCAAAACATTTACTGAAATTAAAAAAAAATAATTTTTTTTTGTTTCATTTCCTTTGTTTTTCTCTTCTCTCTGTTGTGCTTCTCACTCCCCTTCTCCATCAGTTTGAAAAAGTAAGTCCATAATATCACCTTTGAAAAGGGGTTTGAGAGCTGTATATCAAAACATCTTCTTTGTAAGTGTCAATACAATCAATTTCAGACCATCTTTCCTCAAGTTAACTTGTATCACACAGCAGTAAAGCAGATTAAGCTGCCCCTAATAAATACAACCGAAAACGGGGAAGAATCCAAGACTATTTTTAACTTCAAACTTAGTTTAGCCCAGTTAAATTTCAGAAGAGGAAAAAGAGAGTTAAAAACACCAATCAGATGCTGTAGAACTCAGTTAAAGACAGGCCTCATCTTCTCTTACCTGGTCCTAAGCGTTCAATTTCACCCACCCTTAGTCCTCAACTGCCTCTTTGTTAAACAGGGTAACACATGTACCAACTTCATGAAACTATGAAACCTTTTTTACCAGGATTGAGTCAGTAAAACCCAATGGCAATTAAAACTATACCAACAGATGAAAACAGTACAGGTAAACCACATTCATACCTTCTGAAGCTCCCTGTAAATGTGCCCATCAGGACACCACATCAGTTACTAGAATACAACAAAAATCTTCCTAAAGTTATCATAATAATTTCTTTTAAAAGCAAGAAAATTCTCAGTGTATCACAGTGAAACAGGTAATTCTAATCCAAAATCCATTGAAAAGTAAAATTGCTTAAAAAGTTAATTTACTGGGTCTATAATGGATATGCAATATTAGTTTGTCTGAGTGTAGCAAGATCTCAATAATTCATACACAATCACATACTGAATACTGTAAGTCTGACTGCAAAAAGTGCAACTTTGTAAGTTGTTACTATGGCTCTGGAGGAAATCCAACCATGCTGAAAAAGCTTCTAAGGAGAGGTAATATGTTTTATTACATGAAATCAGACCAAATACAAGGACTGTAAGCTTGAAAGCTTGTTTATTTCACCAATTATAGCTGATAAAATAGAAGAAATGTCTTCCTACAAGCTTAACTTTTCTTACAGATCACCAAAGTACTACTTTAAAAGCACTGACAAAAAACACTTCATTATGGTTGATAAACATTAACAAACAAATGGACATCTGAAATGACATAATAAAACACGGCCATTTGGAACTCTTCCTTCACCAATAAAGCCGAAAATAACTTAGAACTCACACAGAACAGAAGATTTGTAGTAATTTTCACTGTTCTCTACATAGCTCTAAAGCTAGTGATTTTCCTCTACTTATTTGGATTTTCCTCATAGCAATGAAAAGAGCAAAAATAAGACATTTTAAAGCTCCAATGTAAAAACATAAAAATAGGTGGAAAAAAAAAATCACTGGCATGAAAAAACTTGGAAAGCTTTTTAGTTCATTTTATCTTTCAGTTACTACAGTTCAAGTTCATGGTGTCCCTTAAACCATAACAGAAGCTTTGATTTCAGGCAGACTCTGCAGTTTTGCATATCTTACCATGCTCTTTGGAGGAGCATACTGTGATCTGTGGTTTTCAAAATGACTCCTGTTCTCAAAGCAATATCTGAAGTAATGTTAGAGATCTTAATCACCAGGCATTGACATTTGCTGTTTATTCAGACCAGCTGGAAAGCATATATGCATTTGACATTTATTGTGGGTGAATTTGGACAACTTTATGATTCATGATTTGCAGCAAATGATTTCCTTTACATCACACTTACCGATGGCCTCTACAGCCTGAACTCCTGGTGGTCCAGTTTCTGACATGTTCCCATTCCTGCTGACCTGTGTTTGTACATCCAAGGCTTGTGTGTCAGTGTGCTGGTACTCAGCTCCTGATTTCGCTGTCCTTGGAAAAGGAGGACACGCTATTCCCCTGGAATCCTGGCCAGCAAGCTGCACAAATTCAGAAGTAAATACCAACAAATAAAGAAAACAATCAGAACATAAGCAAATACAGCTGTTAAGTAATCTCTCTTTCAATTATGAGAGTGAGCAATACCTCAGCAGTAACTCTGGAAAGCTCACTGGATCAGTAACTAAGATTAATAGCAGAAAATTTTATCTGTGGAAGTTATCAACTTCTAAATTCAAGTCCTTCTATCTTGTGTCACTACCGGTGTTGATACTGACCAGGAGCCATAGCAAGCAGATATGGACTGTGAAATCCAGGCTCTCCAGTGACTCGTAAATATGGGAAGACTTTCAGGCCCAAATGCCTACATCTCCAAAATCACACCTAGAACATCCAGCCACATCATACATGAAATCATAGAATTCTGGGTTAGAAGGGGCCTCCAGCATCATCTTGGTCCAATTTTCCCAGGCAAAGCTTTACCTAGACTAGATGTCCCAGCACCCTGTCCAGCTGACTATTAAGTGTCCAATGTTGGAGAATCCACCACTTCCCTGGGGAGATTATTCCAATGGCTGATTGTTCTGAGAAAAATTTTCTCTTGTATCCAGTTGTAATGTCCCCAGGAACAATGTGTGCCATCACCCCTCATCTTTTTCGTGTGACTAATCGTAAAAAGGGAGTCTCCATCTTCTTTGTAGCCACTCTTTAAATACTGAAACAGTATAACACAGAGTCTCTCAACAGTGGAATAAGGTACATACGGTACAATACGGCTCTATGATACAACGTTAAGGTACCATAATCCCTGTCTGGATATTTTAGTATGCCCTTCCTATGCATCCTGGGCTTTTAAATCTCCAAGTGCTCAGTGTGGGATCTATGCCAAAAAGATTTACAAATTTTCAGTCCTCTTCTACTTTAATTTATACAGTGACACAAAAACGGGGGTTTTTGAGAAAGCCTGAGCTGGGCCACCAGCCTGTCAGATGGTGTGAAACTTGGCTGGATGGCCAGGCTCAACCAGTAAAAACGAACACTTGACATGTAAGTAGTGTAGAACACAGTGTGCAGCATCTTGATCCAAGGCCCAGAGGATGACACAAAATGTACCCGGAGCAGATTTATGGAGACCAAATTAAGGAGTGTCTGACATGAGGACTAGCAGGACTTAATCCAGAGAGATCTCAGTCAATTTGAGGATTAGGGCAACAGATACCTCAGATTTAACAGAGGATGACCCCGGGCATCGGGACACACAGGAAACTGGCTGGGCATCAGCCCATGAAAAGGACATGTAGATGAGGCCTTCAGCTTAGTGGTGACCTTGGCAGCGCTGGGGTAATGGTTGGACTTGATGATCTTAAAGGTCTTTTCCAGCCCAGATGATTCTATGATTCTATGGTAGTATCAGGCTGTGCATGAGCCCATCTAAGTCAGCAGTGCTCCCTCACTGCAAGTAAAGCAGACTTCACCCTAGGTTCACTGAGAGGTGTGACAGGGAGTATATTATTTATCCCATAGTTATTACAACAGAACAAAACTTTCCACAGAGGCTGAAAAATTCTAGTTTAACTAAATGTTTATCGAATATTCATAGAAAAAAAAAAAGTAGCTTTTCCCAGCATAATGCAGCTGGGAGATTAAGGCAGCAATCCTTGCCAGAGCAGGGAGTTTCTGGACTAGTTTTCTGCCTTCAGTAGCAGGGTAAAACAATGAACAAGTTGCAAAGTGGAGTTTAATAGTTCATAAAGACTGACATAATACTGTTGCACATGACGGCAGGTAGTGCTATAGATCTCATCCAGTCCTACAATCCTGAGTTCTGCATGCATAGACAGTGAAAAAAAAATGAAAGAAGATAAAGGACAGTTTCTGAAACAATAAAAGAAAGAAAAGAGGACAGAAATACAAGGGTGTTGGCAAACAAAGTCCCTGGAGGTAATGAAGAATCTTCTCTGAAAACTTGGTGACTTCCTTGTCAAAGATCACAGCACTGTCTCAGTGTGCCCTAATACCTCTGCCTATAACACCCTTCATTTTGCAGCACAGTTTCATTGTGATGGCTGCTTTCAGAAGCACCACTGCTTTTAGCAAAACAGCAATACCACATTTTATACAGTGTGTGCTATGGGATTTCAAGCAACACATGATCCTGAATTATTTCTGTGAATCCTTTATCTACAAAGCAAAGCCCTTCTACCATTTGGCCACATCGTCCTAAGCAGAGATGATTTGAAGCCCCACACATGCACAAATATATGGCTTTGAAAGAATGAGTTCATTTGTGGTCAGCACTTTGTGTTTCAGGTCCTAGTGGCTTTTTAAAACCCCTAATGGGTTTTAATTTTGCACATGGTTTTGTCTGATTAATGTTATTTGTACTGCTCACACTATGTTCTTGTTTATTAAAAAGCAATTGAGAAGGTAATTGAGCTCTGCACTCATGGGTTTTAAATAACTACCTAAATGCCTTCTTTTGTTAAAATAATACAATAAAAGACTTACTAAAATCAAGATTGAAAGGCAGCATATGAGGTGTCAAAGGTAACTGCTGCTACCTTAGTGGAAGCAGCAGCAATGGCTATAGGAGATGTCCAGAAAAAGCTGAAGGAATACTCTCCAGCCAGGCCAACCAGCCCCAAGAACAAACACCCATTTGATGACCTTTGAGGTCAAACCTGGGAAGCAAATAAGACTCAAATGAAATCTGGAAGTCCCATTAACCACCGCAGAGGCCCTGCACCTTCTTCAAAGCAGTGCATGCTAATGAAGCCAGGGCAAACATAAGGAAGATGCAGTACCACCATGCCAATTAGCTGGTGCTGAGTAACACACAGAGATTGCAGAGAGTAGCAGGGCAGTTTCCAAGGATAGCTGTTTCCTCAAGGATGGAACCTGTCACATAGGTATGCTGCTCTGCAGAGACTTCAAGGAAATTGTTTCTTCAGTGCTGATAACCTTCCATTGTCAGGTCCCATTAGCCACTGGTAGACATCAGAGCCCAAGAATGAAAGCAGCACATGAAATGAAACTGCTTTAGAGCAAGACAGAAGGGAAATTACTAGTTTGACAGAAAGGACATCACTCTTCATGGGCCTTTATCATCTTAGGTTTCAAATCACTACACCATTTTGAAGTTCATTTGGGGGAAAAAATAGTCACAGAATCGTATGGTTGAAGTTGCAAGAGGGTGTGACAGCAATGCAAGCATAAGCGTAATCTTGGACACAGGTAACTAGATGCAATAATTACTGGCTATCAAACCAATTCACAAGAGAAGATGTATCCAGGACACCTCTCATGGTTTTTATCTTTATTTATCTTTATTTCTGCCTGAATAGAGTTCTATTGGTTTCAAGAGCCTTTGCCTGCCAGGGAAAGTAGCTGGCTGTGTCACAGCTGACACAAGAGGTTACCACAAACAAGCTTCCCATTTGACTTGAGGAAGTCACATAATCTGGTTTTGTTTGAGTAAATTCCCAGTATTTCCTTTCAGATCCCATCACTACAGCAAAGTTTTAAGACGGGTCAAATAAACCACCATACAAAGTTATACACCCATACAACATGAAAATGCATAAACTCATAACAAGCAGCATTGTACGGACTGAATCTGTATAAAAATGTGTTGACAGATACTAAAACTGACAATAAATGCCATTTTATAAAATATCTATTCTTAATGATAATTTAAACGTGTATGTAAAGGTAGTGAAATGGATTTTCCTTAAAATTACGCACACCTTAGACCCACTGGCAAACTTCTGGCACTACTTAAAATACAGGGTATAAGCCTGTTCATAGTAATAGTGACTCCATTAGTGCCCCTGACAGCTCTAAAGGTTTAATCATGCAGACAACTTGTATGCCAACCTGACATTGCAGGATAAAATTTGTCCTCTTATTATGCTTCGAAAACCTATGAAACTGAACTTTAAAACATACTGAAATACTGAATGGACTAAAAAGTTGCAGTATTTAGCACTCCAGTTACAAGCACGAAAGTGAAAATAACACTGCAGAAAAGCTCAGCTATTCAACCTTAATGGAAATGTGGGGGGGGCAGGAAGGTGCATTATACAGTAACACACAATCTACTGCTTTGTTTACCTTCTTGGGCTGACCCTGTCCTCATGGCTTGAATCACAGCCTAAAGCCTTGTTGGCTCGGAAACTGCCATACAGTTGCAGGACGAGATGCCAGTGGGAGTTAGCACTGCTAATGCTATAGCTGTGTTAATTGCACATGCCTCAGCGCTTCCTAAAACACAATAAATCAGCTTCTTGTTTGTTCACTGAGCTCAATGCCAACACCAACCTGAAATGTCCGCCTACCACTGCAACACTCCTTCACTTGGGTGCCCAGCTAAGATGCAAGGCTGCTTTGCACAGAAGCTGGAAAACTCCAGGCTCTACCCCTGTAACATATTTTCAACATGTAATAAGACAAATTGCAGGTTGGGAAATTCCTGGAGCACCGGCTTTAGTGTGAGATAAAGTCATATCTCTCTTAAAACAATTATAAAATGGATTCAGAAAGATGAATCTTTACCTAAGTCTGGGTTTTATTCAAATAACTTAAGAACTGGACAAGTGAATCCAGGGTGTCTCCCCCCAGTCTGTCTTGTAGAATGTGGTAACTCTTGATACTCAATTTGATATTCAACTTGATATTTTACACCACCAACTTTGAAAAAGGGACCTGCAACTTAGAGGAGAAAACATCTGCAGACAGTTAACTGTAATGCAACATCATGTGGGATATAAAACACCTCCAGTGAGATCAATTATTCCCTTTCTAGCTCCAGGAATCCCTATGGAATGAACACTTTTCTATTTGCCATATTACTCTGAAAATCACTACTCAAGCTAAGCAAAATTCAGACTAAAAAAAAAATAAAAGCATAAAATAAAGCTTTATTATATTCAAACAGACAGTTAAGGTACTTATTAGTAACTAGAGAGGACAAAAGCATGCTCTTACAGCCAGCTGGCACTTTGTCTTCATCTCCACAGCTCCTGCATGCACATTCAGTTAACAGCTGATAGGGACAAATTTGCAGGTGATAGGCCTGGAGCCAAAGTGGCTATGCAAAACCTTATATTCCAGATAGGCATCACAGAATAGGCTCTCTTTTCAAGTCACACTTCAGATAAGAAAATAGAAGTGATTACAGTAGCTCAGACCAGAAAGCCATGCAGCTCAGCGCTTTAACGCTTGACAGAGTCCAAAAATAGATGCCTTGAGGAAAGCATAGGAACAAAGAAAGTATGTAGGAATACTCCCTTTGCTTCCCAAGCATTGGGCATTGCCCAAGAAAGCCAGTACCTAACCCCAAAAACAGTCACTCTTTCAAAACACATTCAGTCCACTTGAACTGGCACAGCGAGGCTGTACAACAGCATACTGTGCATTGACTTATGCAGTACCACTTACCAGGTCTGATGCTCAAAACATGTTCATGCCATCTCATTGAACCAGGTTAATCCTCTGTGTTAGCTGCCGCTCGAAGACAACCAGCTGTGCAAACCTTTGCATGTTCTCTGATTTACTTCCTCCAACCCACCTTTAAAAGGAGTTGGTTACTTTTCTCCTCTCATTCAAAGGTAAGAACATTGCTTGCTTTCCTTGCTTAACTGATTTTTTTGTTGTAATTACACTATTGCATGGATTATACATGATCAAAAGTAGCTGACAGCAGAAAACAGTTTAAGGTGAGCTATTAAGCTATTCCACACCAACAGGTTTGGGGAAATTTGTCACAATTGTACCACTTTGCACTTCATTTTCAGAATGCTGTCTCACAGCAGAGACTGTACTCTATGTAGGGTACAGGAACACATGTTCTCTACCTCAGGTAATACAAAGCTTGCTCTCCTGCCATGAAACAAACAGTTCCAGGGAACTCAATGGGGTTTTGCACTTTTTGCAGTCAAGAATGTACCTAAGTCTTACCAATATTGGTACCTATTTTAATCAGCTGGGTATAATGGAGATTATTATAGTGACATGTTAATTGCATGTCTGAACTAATACCAACCCTTTACAGCTGTTTTTAAACCTTTTTCTTCATTTCCGATTCTGCTTTCTATTTAATCATTCATCCCATCTCTTATTTACAGTGTTTTTCTATACACCCTAACAGATAAATAGTTACTCATGGATAAATAATTATTCCCATAACTATGTACTGAACTAACATACTGAGACAGAGGTCAACTGCAATTCTGGATGGAACAATTTATGTACTAGACAAACCATCTCAACTTTGATTTTGCTACTCTAAAATGTCAGCTGTCTGTATATAGAGTTTTCTCTTAAAATCATAGACTCATAGAACAGTTAGGGTTAGAAAGGACCTTAAGATCATCCAGTTCCATGCGCAGGGACACCTCACACTAAACCATGTCACCCAAGGCTCCATTCAACCTGGCCTTGAACACTGCCAGGGATGGAGCATTCACAACCTCCCTGGGCAACCCATTCCAGTGCCTCACCACCCTTACAGTAAAGAATTTCTTCCTTATATCCAATCTAATCTTCCCCTGTTTAAGTTTTAACCCATTACCCCTTGTCCTATCACTACAGTTCCTGATGAAGAGTCCCCCCCCAGCAAATCACATTTGAGTACACATTGATAGTACCAAGAAAATGTGTATGCAAATGCACACACGTTTTAGATTATAGTTGTGGGGAAAAAAAAAACAACAATGTTATTTATTCACATAAAAACTACACTTCTACACGGATAAAAGTCAGTGTTTCACAGCACCCAGCAGCTGCAGACACTAAGAGTTTTGGATATTAGTAAAAATTGGGAACAAGAATGTAACATTCCACAATGCCATATTGAGGAGATTGAAAGCACCTCCACAGCAACCGCTTTGCTCTCCCACAGAAATCAGATTGTAGAGAAAACGTTTACATTCAAAAACTTGAGTGGGTTGAATCTGCTCTGCACTGGAACTCCTGTGCTTTAATTCCACTTAGACACTAAAGTGAACCATCTATGGCACACTTGAAAAACTCTGGAGTCTTCTGGGATTTCGGCAATAGATGAATGTTTTATATTCGAATCGCAATGAGCAGAATCAGGAGGGAATCCGAGTAACACGTACAACCCCCCGATTTCTGAGTGCCTGCCGCTTGTGTTAGACACGGAGGTAACCTCCTGCACCTCTGAAGCACCCAGCACAGAAAACCTCGGGGGGGAAATGATGAAAAAGGCACTTCACTTTGTGTCGTATCGCAGCAGCACCTGGGGGACTCGCCATCTAACACCGCACCAGCAAGAGGAAACTACGGAGGAGGTGCGCTTTAAGGTGCCATTAGCCCTAATAAGCTCCCCTTATTAGGTTGGAGAAACAGGCCGACCAGGGGGAGAGTGAAAGGAGTGAGGGATTACCCGCGCCACCGGGACATGGGGGCTGTGAGGGAAGGAGATGTGCTTCTACCAAACGCACCGCCGGGAGGAAGAGCGGGCGGCAGCAGGGCCCTCAGCGCTTCTCCCGCCTTCAACGGCTGAGCCAGTGAGGCGGCGCCGGGCAGGAAGGGGAAGGAGGGAGCAGCCGGCTGCGGGAGGCTGGCGTCCTCGGAGGGGAGTGTCTGCCAGAGGGCTGTGCCGCCCGACCCCGCCGTGGCTCGGCATCCTGCTCCCGGTTCTCGGCCCGCAGAGCCCTTGAAAGTTAGAGCGAGCCGTGGGGGACACTGAGTCGGGGCTGGCAGAGACGCTTCCCTGCAATGAGGCGGCGCCATATTGCAGTACGGCAGAGAAGCTGTGGTGGGTGCCATTTTGCATCCGAACGGGAGGTGAGATTAGACTCGCTCTTTTTCGCCGCCTGGGCGCCGCCATTTTAGGTTACGGCAGAATCTCCACCTTCCCTAGCGCAACCTCATTGGACGCCGCCATTTTGGCTTACGAACAAGACGGCGACCCGGAGGGGTCCTTGCCCCCTCCCTTCCTCCGTTTAGGTGTCTTCATAAAATGCCCGTTGAGAATCCCCTCTTTTTTCGCTCCGCTCCCAAGATGGCGTCGATGCGGGAGAGCGACACTGGCCTGTGGCTGCACAACAAACTGGGCTCCACAGACGAGCTGTGGGCGCCGCCGAGCATTGCCTCGCTGCTCACAGCTTCGGTGATCGACAACATCCGCCTCTGTTTCCACGGGCTCTCCTCGGCCGTCAAGCTGAAGCTACTCCTGGGGATGCTGCACCTGCCCCGCCGGGCGGTGGATGAGGTGAGGGCTGTGTAGGAGCTTGCGCGGGAAGATGAACCGAAGCGGGATGAAGGGGAAAAGGAGGTCGGAGATGATGTGAGGGGAAAAAGGGGCAGCGCCAGCACCACCTCCCCGCCCGCACATGGAGTCTGGAGAGGGAGACCCTGGGGCCGTGTCCCTCAGAGGCCTGGCGCTGCCCCCGGTTGGAGCGGGCGGTTGCTGAGGGGGGAAGCCGGGCAGGGTGTAGTGAGGCTGGTCCCACAGACATCCCCGCTTCATGGTCGGGGAGTGGGAGCAGGGAGGTCTCGGCTGGTAGAGCGGTTTGTTGAGGCCCTGCGCGGAGGACTCGGTGCGAGGGAAAGCGCTCAGATTCCCAGTGATAAGGGAGTGAGTGGAGTGGAGGCTTTGGTGCTGCTCCTCCTCTTCCTGCTCTTCGGGGAATCTCTGGTTGATACTGGTCTTCTGAAGACAGTTTCGACCTGAAACCCATCTTACACGTCCACGCAGACTCGTAGTTGTAGGGCTCTGTTTTGATAGTTTGGGTGCCCCTGGGGAAGAGAGCTTTCTGAGGCAGCGGTTGTGGTAGGAGTAGGACAGAGAGGCAGGAGCGTTTATGAACGGTCGTGTGTGTTAGGCTTCCTTCCCTCTCTTCCCTGGCAGCTGTGTAGGTGTCCCAAGAACATCTCAGCTTTAGGAAGGACAGCAGCAAGTGCTGAAACTTTGGGACTGGAAGATTTGGGGTCTGCACTGAATGGTGCTTTCCCCTGACTTCTTGCAGTCAGGTCTTGCTTGAGGGAAATTGCCATGTTTTGGTTTAGTTTTTGCTTCTCTTTACCCTTCTGGGAGCAGATGGTACTTTCCTTTATTGTCTTACCCCAGCTAATAAAGCTGGCTGGCTCGAGTCTGAGCTGGCTCTGCAGGATTATTCGCTTGGCCCTGGACCATACATCATCTGCAGCTGGTTTATTCTCACCAGTAGGCAGCTACTGATGTTTGAGACAGTAATTGGAGAATGACTGGGAGACATTTAAGTTTCTTTAGCCAGGTTTGAGGAATTCCTCTCCTACTTCCACCATGTATGGTATTAGTTCCTTGTAACAGTCATGGAGCTGGTGTGTAGTTATTCCTCACCTTGTGTAGAGTATCCTCAGCTGTGCTTGCAACAGTCTCATTCTTGGCTAGGGCACAGCTGCTGCTTAAGCTTAATATATTTACTAGGCAGGGTGTGGGGAGGGCATATGTAACTTGGATTATTGTGTGCTCAGCTTTCATGTACTTCTAAGCTGAAAATGCACAAGCGTTAGTTCAGTGCATGTTGTTTGTCTTGCCACATGTATCTGTGTTGATTGTTCAGTGTTACATGTAACTGGTGTCACTCAAAAGAAAGAAAATTCATCTTGTTTGCTTTAATTTTTAAAACATGACGTTCATGTTCAGTGCCTATCCAGTGCACAAGATGTCTTCCTTCTGTGTGACAAATGCAGTTGTGTTTTGGACAAACAAAACCAAGGCCAGAAAGGGGGATGGGGAGCTATGCATATGCTCATGTGAATTCTGAGTAGGCAAAATTCTTCTGAAGTAGCATGAAAATCCAAGTAGCCTGGAAGAAAAGAATATTGCAGTGTTCAGAAAAAGCCAACAAGTTAGTGGTGGTTTTAGATTGAAGAAGAAAAGAGCTCAGAAGAGCTTAGAGACCTTCATAAGTAACACTTATGTCAACTCTTTGAGAGAACAGCATTCAAGCAAACTGAAATAAGTAGTTGGAATGCTGGAAGAGTGTTCACTGAGTGGGTAAAAGAACTTTTAAATCTAATTCTGAGGAAGATAGCACAATGCATCTTCACTTGATCTGAGCTTTTCTTAGCCATGAAGTGTACGTAAAGAAGAGCAAGTCAGTTGCTGTGTGGTTTAGTGTATTGTTAAAGGGATCTGTCATGTTCCAAATATAAAGCCCTTGTTACTGCTGTAACAAAAAAATATTGTGGGATTTTTCACTTCTTTGGTAGAGCTTGTGACTTCAATCAGAAGTTGAATCTTTCATTGTAAATGGAGCACACTTGAGATCTAGGGGTTTAGCATGTTTCAGTCCTTTGCAAAGTACCTCAGGGATGTGATTTTTGTCCTGAGAGGAAGGACTTAAAATTGTAAAAAAAAAAATAGAACTCGTGAGGCAGAAACACATAACATTGGTAGTAGGTGTGCTGTGATCCTT